GATTGTGAACTTGATTGCACCCAAACCATCCAGGGGAGGCAATGAAAACTTGCAAGCCTTTGGGCTCATTGTGTTCCTCAGCACTGCTTCATACTACTGCATCCAAGTTGCCAAAGTGAGTATACTTATCCCCTTCTTCTTTGCATTTTTTTTTTTTCAAAACAGAACCATTTTTCAAACTTTTAAGAAGTCAAATCTTGCAGGAAGTGTTGTTCCAGAGTTTCTCCAAATGTTATGCTGCTGTAATTGCTTCATTACCATGTTAATTCGTTGGGTGGAGGCTCATGTAGTCTCACTCTTCTTTTTTGGAAGTGAAGTACAGTACATATATAATGTGTGAGTGCTTCTTCACAGCATTGGCTTGTATATATGGATACAAAATTCCTGTGTTCTAAAATGTATGTGTGTAACACAAATGGTTTGTCTGCTTTAAAGCTCAATTTTTTCTAGAGGTGAAGCATATTATATAATATGATGAGCATGCAATGAATCATTTTCAAAAATGGAAAAGTGACTATAAAATATTTTAACTCATCTTGTTGACCAAGGTAAATGAAATTATGTTGTCCAGTATTATTTAGTCAGCCACAAAAGTTTAATATAATTGTACCTTCTTCACAGAGATGCAATAATGTAGTTTTAGTTTTAATCAGTTAGAAACAAGTGCATGTGTATGATGTGTTGCNAAATGAAATTATGTTGTCCAGTATTATTTAGTCAGCCACAAAAGTTTAATATAATTGTACCTTCTTCACAGAGATGCAATAATGTAGTTTTAGTTTTAATCAGTTAGAAACAAGTGCATGTGTATGATGTGTTGCTCTGTCATAGTGTGAAAATCCTATTCATTGTTTCTCTTGTCATACATTTGTGTTTCCAGGCATACCTGTGGCCATTCTCACTGGTGGCTGAGGTGACATTGCTGGTTGCTCTTGTGAGCCTGTACTTTTTGTATGCTGCCAAGGTTTGTGTTGGGATTATCTCTTGTGTTCTATTCTCTTCTTTGCTCACATTTTGTTCATCTTGATTCCCTTAATGTGCACACAATCAGTTGAGCTTTAATGAATATATAGTTAGTGCTGGGAAAACTCTTGATGAATCTGATGTACTCCACTGTTCTGCATGGGAATTATATTGTGTTTTTGTGATTGGTTCAAAGGATCTGTTTTCTATCTAAACAGTCTATCATTTTACTTTTTTATTCATAGTAGGGATGCCAAGAATTGTATCTTGACTAATGTCAGCATTTCTTATCTTGATCTAAAATGTACAGAAGCCTGCTTATATTATGAAGCTCATTTGCAAGATGTCAAATCTAAGATGGTTTTCATGATGTATGCCTTCTCTTTGAATGCAGAGACCTGTGGTGTACTGTGATCATCCCAAGCTGAAGACATTTCTGCACAAAAATGTGCCTGTCCTGAATGAAAGATTCTGGGTCACTCCCTGGGCTTGGGGAGGCTGTGTTCAAACTGTACTTGCATCTTTCTTGGGGGAATTCTGGCCATTTGCTCCCAAGAAAATTCAGTATGAAAGGTAAAAACATAAAATATTCATTGAAATATTCTCTTGTGGATTCTTCATGTTGTATAAGAGCACACTTCCTGTTTCCAAAGGTAATTCTGAGTAACTGTAACTAGTTTTAGTTCATATTATGCTCATCCATCATTTGCAGCAGTAATTCAAACTAGACCTTAATTGATCTGTTTGTTTATCTGCAAAAGCATACAATTTGCAATTTGACAAATTTACCTCTATTTTTCCTTGGGTTTGGGTCTTTATGCTGGGGCAAAATGTCATCAACTTTGTTTGAAAATGATTGGAAGCCTTTTATGCCTTTTATTTTGTACAGTATTATAAGAAGACTTTTAAAATTAATTTCTTCCTTAATTGACTTTCACACATTTTTCTCTACATGTTCAGAAATTCCACAGTTTCCTTGTATGAATTTGAAGAAACTACAGTAATGTAAAATGATGCTCCCTGAATGGAAAACAGAAATAAAAAATAAAATGTTAATGCAAGATTAAATACTGTAATTAATATTTCAAAGAAAAAAGAATTTTTAAACAAAATAAATAGTATACACTATAACACATGAGGTAATTGCCAAAATTTTGATACTAGTTGGTACAGGTGGACTCCCTACTTCAAAATTCAAGAAGGTAATAATCATTTTTGAGAAAAGAGAGCCCCTTTGAAATAGCGAGAGAACTTTATGCTGGGAAACACAACAAAAAAATGTGCAGCAAAATTTGTTGTAGACAAGATTTTTGTAGAAAGAGTCCACCTGTATTACAAACCTCTGTTGGGGTGAGAGTTCAGTTGATAATCAAAAAATTTCCATTTCAATATCATCCATGCAGAGAGTTGCTGACATTGAAAGATGGTGGTGAAGTTGCATTGGACTGGAAACATGATGGCTGTCTGCATTGCAAAGCAGAAGATGATTCTTGCCACCCAGAGCATAAGCAACAACCAGTGGTGCTCATCCTGCCTGGGATAACAGGCAACTCAGATGCCTTCTATGTCAACAGCATCATCCAGGGTATGTCTGGCCTGGGTGTGTGTTTTGTGGTCTTCAACAACAGGGGACTTGGTGGGCTGAGGCTCAAGACCCCAAGGACCTATTGTGGCTGTAACACTGAAGACTTGGAAGAAGTTGTGCAGTATTTGAAAAAGAAACTGGCTCCTGGCACTCCTCTTGCCTCTGTTGGAATCAGCTTGGGGTCGTTAGTATCTTTTATTTTCAGTTTCAGTTGAATCTGATGGGAGAAAAATTTTAGGGACATTATTATTGATCATCAAACACAAATACAGCATTATTACTCAAGTGTTCACCACTCCTCTCAATCATGTAAATTAATTTTGAGCTTTTTTGGCTGCTCAGTAGACATATTTGATCATAATGTATTATTTTGATGCCCTGAAGTTATTGTTGATGCAGGTATTTGTGGTACAGTAGTTCAATCACTTGCCTTGTTTATTCCAGAAAACTGGACAGCTTCAATTTAAAGGCATATATAACAACCTTTTACATTATTTGCTTTAAAAAAAAGATGAGTTTCTTGTTTAAATTGTTTATAACTTATGGATGGTAGAGAATTCTCAATAGACAAATGAACAAACTTCCTGTTTTTCACTTAGACATTTTGTATTGTGTCCTGTGAAAGGTCAGTTGAGAAAAGTGTGGCATTGGCTTTATAGCTTTCAAATTGTATTTCTTGATGCTGGAAGTATTTTGTTGTGAAAAATATTAATTCATATCTATATAATGTTCCAATTGTTTTTTGCTTTTCAGGTTAATCATGTGCCATTACCTGTCCAAGAAAGGGAAGGAATCTGGTCTAGTAGGCAGTGTAGCCGTTTGCCCTCCTTGGGATACATTCAGAGGGACAGAGTCACTGGAGAGTGCTTGGCCCAACACTGCCATAAACCATCACTTGGCCAAGTGTTTGACTGAAATTTATGACAGGTGAGTACCTGTAAAGAATTGTGAGAAATGGGGAGAAAATGGATCAACCTCTTTTGAATTCATGTGAAGATATTTCTTAATTTCTTGATTGAATCTGTAAGTTTGGTGGATGTCATCTGCTCATGTCTTTCTGATGATATTTCATAGAAGTCAACTCCAATGAGGTATTAAATTTAAGAATTTGCTGGAAGCTTCTGAAAATATCAAAAGAGAATTATAGAGTCAACTGTCAGATTATTGCATACAGGGCTATTTGAAATTCTTACATGATCACCCCTGACTTACTACAATGCAGTATTTCCTGAGAAATGAAGGGATACAATTTTGGGATGCTTCTCATAGTTCAACTGGTAGAGTTTTCATTTATTTGAATTTGTTTTCTCAGGTCATTGCATTTTTTTATATTCCTATGCATGACTCACTAAACTGCTATAGTTTATTATTGTAGCTTAAGAATATTTTCTTTTTATAATATATGAATAGTATTAATACAGTAGTAGTTTGTTAAATTAATCTTTTGTACACTCTAATTAGTCTAATACATTTTGCTTCATCTTCAGTATGACTCACTATAGTGAATGTTACTGATATACAGTAGTTGCATCAGCAATTGTCTTAAGGAGGCTTTATTATTGATCATCAAACACAAATACAGCATTATTACTCAAGTGTTCACCACTCCTCTCAATCATGTAAATTAATTTTGAGCTTTTTTGGCTGCTCAGTAGACATATTTGATCATAATGTATTATTAGTGTAGATTTTGATCATAATGTATTATAATTGTAGATTTTGATCATAATGTATTATTATTGTAGATTTTGATCATAATGTATTATTATTGTAGATTTTGATCATAATGTATTATTTTGATGCCCTGAAGTTATTGTTGATGCAGGTATTTGTGGTACAGTAGTTCAATCACTTGCCTTGTTCATTCCAGAAAACTGGACAGCTTCAATTTAAAGGCATATATAACAACCTTTTACATTATTTGCTTTAAAAAAAAGATGAGTTTCTTGTTTAAATTGTTTAATTTATGGATGGTAGAGAATTCTCAATAGACAAATGAACAAACTTCCTGTCTTTTAACTTGGACATTTTGTATTGTGTCCTGTGAAAGGTCAGTTGAGAAAAGTGTGGCATTGGCTTTATAGCTTTCAAATTGTATTTCTTGATGCTGGAAGTATTTTGTTGTGAAAAATATTAATTCATATCTATATAATGTTCCAATTGTTTTTTGCTTTTCAGGTTAATCATGTGCCATTACCTGTCCAAGAAAGGGAAGGAATCTGGTCTAGTAGGCAGTGTAGCCATTTGCCCTCCTTGGGATACATTCAGAGGGACTGAGTCACTGGAGAGTGCCTGGCCCAACACTGCCATAAACCATCACTTGGCCAAGTGTTTGACTGAAATTTATGACAGGTGAGTACCTGTAAAGAATTGTGAGAAATGGGGAGAAAAGGGATCAACCTCTTTTGAATTCATGTGAAGATATTTCTTAATTTCTTGATTGAATCTGTAAGTTTGGTGGATGTCTGCTCATGTCTTTCTGTTGATATTTTATAGAAGTCAACTTCAATGAGGTATTAAATTTAAGAATTAGCTGGAAGCTTCTGAAAATTTCAAAAGAGAATTATAGAGTTAACTGTCAGATTATTGCATACAGGGCTATTTGAAATTCTTACATGATCACCCCTGCCTTACTATACAATATAGTATTTCCTGAGAAATGAAGGGATACAATTTTGGGATGCTTCTCATAGTTCAAGTGGTAGAGTTTTCATTTATTTGAATTTGTATTCTCAGGTCATTGCCTTTTTTATATTCCCATGCATGACTCACTACACTGCTATAGTTTATTATTTTAGCTTAAGAATATTTTCTTTGTATAATATATGAAGAGTATTAATACAGTAGCTCAAACAATTTAATTAGAAAACATGTGAGATTAATCAGATTATGTAAAACGAAGTAGAAGTCATACTGAGTGATATCACTTACAATGACTATATGTCATCAACGTAGTCGTTAACAGAATTCCTCCGGTTCTCTTTTTCTTGCCATTTTGATGAAAGGTGCATTGTTGTGTTCACTCTGTAAATGTCTAGATTAAATAACTTGTCCATTGCTATTTGGATAACAAAGATACAATCATGACATGAAGGATGAGTCATGGTAATTTGTCACCCTTTCTTTGGAAAGGCTTTGGTTGAGCAACTGTGAAAACTTTACTGTTTTACTGTATACTGTATATCCCTTTTATTCAAAAAATGCTCACAGTTTAATCTAAAAATTTGCCAAAATTCTTCCACTTTTGGTCATGACTTTTTTTCTGTGAGAAAATTTTTTTCCCTTCATCAAAAAGTGTTAGCAGGCATACACTGCTTGGTTGCTTTTTTGGCAACACTCACTGATGAAGTGGTTCCATTGTTCCATATGCGCAGGGAGAGGGACATGTTGGAGACCCGGATAGGCGACGAGTTGGCAGCCAAGGCCACCACGGCCCTGGTCATGTCCTCGCGGACCATCCGCGAGTTTGACGACCGTTTCACCGCCCCTCAATTCGGCTACCCGTCAGTGGACGCCTACTACGCGGACGCTCGGATGACGGACAAGCTGCGCTCTGTGCGCACGCCGCTCCTGGCTCTGTCCGCCGCCGACGATCCCTTTCAGCCGGAAGATGGCATCCCGCGCTCTTTCGGTGAAGCCAGCACTGTGGCGATCGCCGTCACCCGCAGAGGAGGGCACATCGGGTTCCTCCAGGGAGTGTTCCCCTTTAGCCCCGTGTCGAATTACTACTCGAGGTTCACGCGCGACTTTCTGTGCGCAGTATTCGGACATCCGGGGTTCAGTGATAAGGAGGATAACTCAATGATGATGACCGGTAATGAGTAGTAGTGATGCTTTTTCTTCGTGCCGTTCTCGTCGTTATTACTGATTTCCGAACGGAATCGCGAATTGCGGGCTCATTTTCTTGATCAGTTTTTCTGCATTCGACGCGTCTAGAGAGAATGCCGGTGAGAGGAGATAATGAGAAATCACGCTGACTCTTATTGAAAAAGCTCGAATATTCCCGCGTAAAGAACAAGTGGTGCTGTACAGTATAGAATTTTATAGGCCGACACACGCTCGGAATAAAACAGGAACTAAAGCAAATGTGATGGGAAATACAGTCGGTGTTTTCGTGAGGTGAACCATGAAAGGAAACGAGACTAGTGATATATCGTATCTCCAGATTGGGGCAGCATCGATGATAGCGTTTCCGTTGTGCATTGATTTTAATCTTAAGCTCTACCTTCAACGTTAATATTAACAGCAAAGAACAGTAAAGGGCCGTAGAATAGAAGCAAAACCGCGCCCTTATTGCCTGAATGAGGTGCACGGCACAGACACTTCGATCCGAAAAAATTTTACCACATCCCAGTGATGACGTTTCGATCGGTTATATTTTGATGGTTCGTTGCCTCCTGGATCACAGCCGAACCTCCCCGTATATTTAGCGAATGACCCCTTTTCAAGTCCTTGTTCGAATTCCATTATTAGGAACAATGTCAACTCGTTTAAGAAGCAATTTAAGGCCCATAGCCAAAATTTCCCGCAATTGCTACTCGGAAAAAGTTCGTAACTCAAACCTCGCTAACCTGGTTTTTTCTTTTTTTTTGCTGATCCCTTGAAGTTCGACTTGGAAGAGGTTCGAGTGTGTTTCGATCACGACGATATCGGTTCATCCCTGTTTTTGTAACGTTTATATAGAACTTTTGCGAATTGCTCTTTTGGAAGTTTTTCGGGAATAGTTCATCTTTTGCTGCCGGAGACTCGTAATTCATAGACGGCAAGGCGTTTTTTCTGTAGTTTTGGAAATGTATTTTTCTTTGCACAGTCGGAAAATATGCGGCGCAGTCGAAACCAACGAACAAGTCATCATTCTCTTGATGTTAGATTTTGTTTTTTAGAATTCGAGATGGAAGTTGCAATTATAATTGTCGTTTCTTGTCATTTCCCGGCATCTTATCTTCGTTTTGGCGCGGGAATAACGGACTTACTCCACGTGCCGTGTCTGTGAAGCTAGGCTTTTTCTTTTACCACAACCCAGTGATGACGTTTCGATCGGTTATATTTTGATGGTTCGTTGCCTCCTGGATCACAGCCGAACCTCCCCGTATATTTAGCGAATGACCCCTTTTCAAGTCCTTGTTTGAATTCCATTATTAGGAACAATGTCAACTCGTTTAAGAAGCAATTTAAGGCCCATAGCCAAAATTTCCCGCAATTCCTACTCGGAAAAAGTTCGTAACTCAAACCTCGCTAACCTGGTTTTTTTCTTTTTTTTGCTGATCCCTTGAAGTTCGACTTGGAAGAGGTTCGAGTGTGTTTCGATCACGACGATATCAGTTCATCCCTGTTTTTGTAACGTTTATATAGAACTTTTGCGAATTGCTCTTTTGGAAGTTTTTCGGGAATAGTTCATCTTTTGCTGCCGGAGACTCGTTTAAGTATCTGCCGTTCCGCAAAAAAGACATCAAAACCTTTACATAAAAAGAAACGTGTCAGCCTTTTATACGCCGCGTCAGCTTTGGTTGCTTGTTCAGTAGTAAGAGAACTACAATCTAAAACAAAAGAGATGATGTAAATGCACATCTCCGTTACTCGCGAAAAGCGCTTGTATTTCCCCGACACCTTGTTTGGGGAAATCAATTTGAATTTGGAACTTCCTTCCGGAAGAAGTTTGAGATACCATTGTACTAGGAAGAAGTACGAAGTTGATGAGGAAAGAGTTTTTATTGACATAGTGGTGTTGTGATGCGGGATGTTTTTGTTGATCCAGGCGAGGAAGTAGTCTATGGAATTCGTGGCATTTTGTTTCATCAATGCTCTGTAATCTTATGCGATTGAATAAAAAGCGTAAAATTCAGCAGTGTCTTGGAGAATTAATCCAGTGATTGATCAATTTGGCGTCAGAAATTCACCACATCATCAGTGTTCAAGTGATACAGTGCATATTTTCTTCAGATGAGATACATTTTCTCATGCTGTATTTCATTGACCTTTTGATTATTATAATGGGCAAATGATGCATAGTTTAGTTGCATATAATTATGTTATTTATTGTAAGCTTGGATTGGATGAAGTAAAGTTCCTGCTTTTGACTTTTGCTATAAGTTCAAGTCTGCTGACTAGTACAAGGGAGAAGAGTTTATACTTATATTAAGTTTAGTTTCAGAGTATTAATAACTTTATAGTTTATACTTAACTAAACTCCAACGAACTTGACGAATAACGTACAACACTTTATAGGTAGAAAAAGGCTACTAAAGTTATTTTCAAGTGTCTGTTCAAAAGTTGATTCTTCCTTCTCCATTTCATTGCTCCATGAACTCATTTCCCTTTGTGCATTTTGTTGTTGTTTTGCAGTGGAATCTCACTAAAAATTTATATTTTGTCATGCCATCAGATTCATGTAACCAGTCATATGCAATTTTTATGTTTAAATTGTGGCTTGTGTCATATACCAGGGCGCATTTTTCATAAATGTGTATTAATTGCCTGTATTTGTTCACCTGGAATATGTGACTTTGTAGGACCACATTTAATGCGTTGATGAAAGATAGAGGAATCCATTTTAACTTCCATTTGTTAAAACTACGAAGGTACACGGGTAAAACTTACTACACACTCACAATGTGGTTACTTAGTACGGGTACACATCCCGCTGTAGAAACGCCCAGTTTACATTCCTTCACAGTACCTTCTAGGCCAGTCGAAGCAGCAGCGATTGATCCATGAGTCAGTCGCGCTCTTTGACTTCCGTGAATCAGCAACGCGCGTCACTGTGCTTGTTCCCCGCCCCAACACCGCCACACCTCCTTCTTCTTGCCCCATCATCTGGTAGAAATCCTTAACGCGGGTAGGATCCACTAGGTGGCGCGCAGGCTGCTTACCACGTTGCCATCTGGTTGAAGTGGAGAGAAGGAGTAGGATGCGCAGGCTGCAATCGCTGAACGCACACAAGGAATCCGTTGGCATCCGCGGGGACGCTTTGAATACTATAGGGGGAAAATCTCTCCTCCCAGCCGACGACCGGCGGTGACGGAGGGAGGGTCGGGACGGGGCTCAGGGTGGTAGTCGACTCAGGACTGCGACCACGCTCCAACGCCTTCACGGCTTTGGACTCTTGAGGAGAGGAGCTCCCCCGTTTCCTCCTGCTTGCTGAATACTGCACGGGCAAAAGTAAGAGAAATAATACAGAATCTGGCGAATTTCACATGGTTGAGAGCTGGAAATTGCCTGTATTACTCAAACTTATGCCTTTTATAATTTTGACTTCATGCTGGTAACTTTTTTTTTTACAGTCCAGAATGGATTAAATGGTTTTCCTTCATGGCTCATGGGGAAAGCATGTTTTGTGCTATAAGAAAAGGCTGTACAGGTGGTACCTTGAAACTTGACCTCCTGCAATTTGATGGTCAAGTTTGAAGGGAGGTTAACTCACAATTCAACCTCTGCCCCCAGAATCTGACCTGATTTGTCCACTTTTTATGCATTTTTTTGCTGATATTTCTCAATTCTACACAGTGTCTTACAATGTGACTACTTTGCAATTTGACCATAGTTTGGCAATGGATTAGGGTTGAATTGCAATTTATCACTGGTACAGTATAAATGGCATGGAATGAACTACTTTTTTATGTGGATACCCACTGTATTACATTGCTGTGGTGCTTATCATTTCTCATCCCATTCAATCAACTTGACCCATGGTAGGCATGTATTCAGGCATTTCTCTGATTAAAAATAGTCAACTTTCCCTTGCTTTTAAATTGTATATTTTCAAGTTGGTGTATTGTCAAATGTTGATCATGTGCCACCCTTGCTCAGTGCCAAAAGAAATGAAGGATTGTAGGCCCACACAATTTAGGATTGATTGTGTCTGTGCAAAATTGCAAATATAGCCTCAAAAAGCTTACAAATGTGATATATATTTCCTCTTGTCTGTATAAGTATACCAAAATATGTGTCCCTGTTGATCATAGCCAAGCACTTGGTGCTAAGTGAGGCTGGGATAACATTGAGGGCATTGTACAAGAGGTGAAAGCATGAAGTGGGAAAAGATGGCTGCAAAGAAATTTGTGGCACTACATTTGGGATTGACTTTGCCATGAACCTCTCAAGCATCTGATGGTTTTTTAATTTAGTCTGGATTTTTAGTTATCCTGGATGATGTTAAGATCTTAGAAGATATTATTATATGAGGTAAGAATAAGAAAGAAAAGAGTAAGTGGCCTAGCCTTATCTTGAATGCAGTTCCTGAAAATTTTGTAACCACTGTATCTGAACAATCAATCATGTTGGAGGCTCTCTATTCTAATGAAAGCTTGAAGATATTATGAATGAATCTGATGTTTCCTCTCAATCTTGGACATACCAGCTGGGTAATTTCTTTATATTATGGTATTTGCTTGTACCATGACTACGTAATCTACATTCTCTTCAGTTTAGTGGGATAATGTGCATGTGAGCTTCATAGTTGTGGTTTTTGACCAGGGCTGAATTTTAGGTTCCTCTGTTCTCAGAATTCTGTGCTCATAATAAAAGGGTCCTTTCCCAATACTTAACCGAAAAAACACGAAAAATACAGACTTAACGTAATAAAACTGATACAAGATAACATAAAATTAAAACATATAAAACATATGTGACATTTTTTAAGTCTCAATAACTGCAGAAATGAATCCTAACAGTGTGAGCACATACAACATGTATGAATCCTTACTTTTAGTCCCCTTATGGCTTCAAGGGTTAATTTGTTTTCTGAATTGTTCTACTACATTCCCTTGAGTAAAGAACAGTTATTGGAGGTCACTTTCAGGTGCCATGAGAAAAAATTGTTAAATTATTTCTACAAAAAATTGAATAACAAATTATTGTCCAAAAGTCTTCTTGAGTCTATGCCCAGCAGCAAATTTTTTTTAAATGCTGTTAGAACCCCCCTTTCATGACAAAGCATGCTACTGTAACCCAATGTCCCCATTGTAAATATATTTTACTGCATATTTCTCTTAAAAAAAAGGAAATTCACAGTTCATTATGCAAAAATATTGTTTGTACTCAAGTAACATTTTCCTACACTAAATGCATTAAATGGAGTCCTTCATTGATTGAGCATTGATTTCATGCATGAAGTCATATGTAGCAGACCCATTGTAAGTCTTTCTCCTTTTTAGTTTCTTTAAAGTTCAGACAACCAGAGGGATATTTAAGGTATATTTTCATGATATACAGTATGCCTGTTACAATTGCGTGCATAGTTATATGACCCTGAATTCTTCATGGGTATGTTGTTTATTACCAGATTTGTGAACTTCACTCCCTTACATATCTTACTACAATGATCTTGTCTACAACATTTTTCTTGGTGCAATACTTTTTGCTTGGTCCCATGGGATTCCCTACACACTTTATGGGGATTTTCTACAATAAAAGTCTCTCTCTAATACCTTTTTTCTGGTTTATTTAATTTCATGGTGGAGAGAATCCACATATTTTTCTCTGGGACTCAACCTCATGTTTTTCCAAGAACTGTTGTACATTATTCGTTTTTTTTTTTAAATCACGATCAAAAGCAATCGAATGCTGAGTTGCTCCCTAATTATTTTTCTGGCTAGTCAATTCCGGTTTTGAATGCGGGTTAAATGTGTTCATGGCCCGAAAATAAGCTGGAGTTGGGTTCCCGCTGGGGTGGTGATACTTCCTTACCTTTGCCTGGCGTCGCAGCTGAGGGCTGAGTATGTCTCTGTGCGAGCGGCGGACAGAGAACAGTCAGGCTGTCTCGGGGTTGGAGCGGGTATGCGAGGGATGATGTGCTGTCTCTCTCTCTCCTCTCTTGTCCTCCAGGGACCCTTTGCGCAGCCACGACATCCTGTGTATGTGTGAGTCTGTTCTGTGCTGGGGGGGCTGTTACATGCATACAGAAGGAGCCAGAGCGAAAGACCATTATGCGGATCTGAGTCCATCGTATGCTCGATTCGGTCAGGAGTGCCGATGATTCATTCCCGATCATTCCGTCGGTTCGTGTAGAGCTGTACTGCGAGTGTGATTGTTTCGAGACCGTGACGCGATTGTGAAGCGTTGCGTTTGTGGTGAGTTGGCGGGAAATGGGATACTCCGGGGTTGCCAAATGCGGTCGCGACGCTGTGTGAGAAAAGAAGGAGGTGTTGGTGTTTTATTATTATCGGTACACCATCGAGTGACGGAGGGGGGGCTGGATAACGTGGCCTTCAACCGGTACAACACGAGCATCTATGAGAACTTCAAAGGTGGCTTGTAGTTTCACGAATCCACGCTCACAATGCCACAACTCATTTATGACATGTCACGTCTTGTCATAATCTTGAGCGGAGCGCGAATTAGCCTGTGGGACGCGGAATAGGTGTTTACTTTTGTGATTCATCGAAGTGAATCAAAAGTTAACTAAGAAAGCCTGTACTGTATGCTATCTGAAGTCTTGAGTGTCCAGGTATTGTAATGCGAAGAGCTGAGTTCGTTGAGATTTTTAAGAAATGAAAAACAGTTTCAACCAGTAAAGAGCTTATCCATCAATGCAGTCAGACCGTGTTCCACGGAATGTTCCCATAGATATTATCTTTTTATGATCCATTATAGGGACTAAATTCTATTTGTGTCAAATGTTTGTACAACAAACTCGTATAGACCAAAAACAAATTGATCGCATCACGTTTCTGATCTGAACTCTGGACATTTTAAAAGAAATACAGTATAAAATATCAAGTATGATTATTTCTGTACCAATATTTTTTTACTTCAATGAATCTATTAGGGTTTTTTTGGCAGGATAAAACATTCCCACAGCAGAAATATTTTGAATATGCTTATTGTTTGATCATGGGTTTTGTTCAATCCGTTGAATGAAAGGAATTGGGCAGAAGAATCACAAAAACATTAGTTTTGTTGTTATGAACATTGACATTTTGTAATATAAGGTTTATTCTGAGTTGTGTCTATAGAGTTGTGGATGTGACCTTGCAACATGTGTAACAATATAATCTTTCTTCCAAAAAAAAAATATTTCTACAATTGAGTCGGTTTTAGCCCACTGTCCAAAGCCAACAATGTTGAATGAGTTACTTCATGCTAAAATAACCTTTACATGGTTTGTTACTGCTGGTCCCAATGGCTTTGTTGTAACAAGACTCTGCTGTAAGAAAACTTTTTCTGCCAGTACAATGTTTGTTGTACAACATTGGAATTTGGCATGTACAGTACAGTATTTAGGAAGTGATAGGGAACCAATGAATGATTAGGAATAGCATCTGTTGCCATGTGCTATAACAAAAGTTGTAGAGATACTGTAAGGATGATTTGTACTGGTGGACTCTCTCTCTCTACATTAAAATTCAAGGGACCAGAAAAAATGCATTGTAGAAAACCTCCCTGTATAATATGGGTTTAGATTTGCATGGGACCAAACACAATACAGTATTGTTATACTATGCCAAGAAAATTGTTGTAGAGAGAGATATTACTACAGTACCTGTATATGAAACTGAACCCAGTGCCTAACCATGTATGAAATTTGGTGCATTACTATCAAACTAGGTTTCTAGTTCTCAAGGGCCACCATGTTACGGAATCCTAGTGACATGTCTGAGAAGATAACAAAACCTTGCCACACAGCTGTGGCTGACCTGACATTTCGAACGGTTACTTCATAGATGTCGCTTGTGTGTGGTCCTCCCCCGTAACTCCCACAAGCAGAATACTGTACAGTAGATGTACAGTACCTGACGCATGATAGATCACTCAGCGTGAGGTACTGTATTTTCTATTGTAATTATGCGGAAGAGTTGACATCCGATTTTAGTCATTATAACGAGTTTTTTGATGTCACGAAAGTTTTTTCCGTGTACCGACTCTTGTTGTAACACGATTTTCACTCGCCAGTACGGACGTAACGCATTGAAATTACGCATCTGAGCCACCTGAAGCAAAAACGAAGGATTCGAATTTGATGGGAAGATGCCAATCTGATTTTGTGAATGGTTTTTTTTTCTCTTCTCAGGTCGCTTGGTTTCAGTTGGAAATCGCGAAGTGGGAGACATTTTGTGTGTGTGGCATGTGACTTCAGTGAAGTGGTGTGATGCTGGTGGGCATTGAAACCTTCGCCGTTTGCCAAAGGATCTGACAAGTCAGGCATCATACCTCAGAGAAACCGGCTCGATTTCGTAAAATCAGAAAGCTTGGGATTTGTGGGACAGTTTTGTCATAGAGGAAATCCTCTCTCAAAAATAAAAGACGCAGTACACGGAATAAAAGCGCTCACGTCAACAACAAGTAAACTTAAGTGGCACGAAAAGCTTGCACCTCGTTCAACCCTAAAGTGGCTGCACTTCCGTGCAAACTCTGGCGTGAGTTTATTTTGAGTTACTCCGGTTCCATTTCGAGTGATCTGAAGTATCGGTTTTTTTTTTCAGGATCTCATTTTTATTCCTGCGATTTCGAAACGCCAGCTCTTGAATTTACAACATCAAGATGGCAAGAACGAAACGGTATGCCCGGAGCGTGATTTCACAGCCAATTAGAATCCAAAATGGCAATTCGCAATCGCAACCCAAGGACCCATTGCATATTGGCAACGGAGCTGGTAACTCGCAATCGCAATCTAACGGTTTGTGGCTTTTCTCGAGAGTTCTTGATTTTCCATATTTTTGCGAATACTGTTCTGGTGCATTGAATTGTGGAGGGGTTTCCGCTCGTTCTATGTGCTATTTATCTGTTGTGCAAAGGTTGTTCCAGGCTGTAGCAGACGGGAATCATTTGTTATAACAGTCTGCAAATCGCAACTTATTTTGCATTTTTATATGATATAGTTTGTGTTCTAATAATTTTGTTATCAGAATTTAGAGATAACTTATCATCTGGCTTGAGGAGAAAGGGGAACTTTTGAGTGAGTGCTGGAATGTAGCATTAAATTTGATTGCACAGTTGAACCTCTCTCAGTGGAATTTCTGGGGACCAGTAAAAAAAATCAACTTAGGGAGGTTTTGAGTAAAGGAAACAAATATTTTTTCTGCAAGAAAAATGGAAAATTCTAGATGAGGATATTCTGGGCCTAAACTTGCTTATTAATGATTTTACAGCTTTTTAAACTTGTAGGAAGGGGTTCATTTCTTCAATTAGTCTTTCACTTCCTTTAAAAATGCATATCATCTGTTTTTAAATCACAATCAAAGTATTATTTGTATGCTTCCTTTTCTAAGTCTTCTGTAATAAGTCAGAAACTCAAATGCAAATCAAAAGGAACTCACTGTAAACATGGAGTGTGGGTTTTTGATCCTGTAAAATTGTAAAACAAAGAAAATATTTCACTTGACATGAAAAAGTACCCTATTTATCTAAGTACAGTACCACTCATCCTCAAGCAATAAGCGCGCCTGGATTTTGTGGCATACGGTGCAAGTTTCATGAAACTTTCCCTTGAACAAGATGCATGTCCCATGTTAGCAACTGAGAATTTTAATATTTTGAAAATAAAGCTCGCCAAAATTTGTAATTTTGCTTGAAATAAACCAAAATTTAAATAATTTTTTATTCTTACATTTTTAAAAATTTTATGATGCGCAAAATATTGCTAATTTTGCTACAGTATTAGAATGCGCACATGAACTTCTTAATGTTGAAATTGTATCCCTGCATCTGATGCCAACCCGCCTTTTTTTTGTGAATTTGAAAAAAGGTGCACATGATATTGTGGTACAATAGATATGGTTGGCTTCAGATAACTTTGAAACATTTTCATAGCACAGTGAAGTGAATGCTACAGTCCAGGCAGCAGTTGATATTTCACAATTCTGATCAAAAAATCTCATCCCACAATTCTATGGAAAAAATGAGAAAGGACCTGAAGCATATACTGTACTGTAGTATAGAATATTAAGTACAGTATATGAAATGAATGTAAATATTGACCATTCATTTCAATATTGTCTTGGAACTGTTGTAAACTAATTGCATCCAGAGGGAAATGTAATACAGTATACTGTATTTTTTGTCCAAGATGTCTCCCTTCATATGTACAGTATATACTGTCTGCAGTAATTTTTTTAAACTTGTAAATGCACTTCTTACTATTCAACAAAAACTTAACTTGTTGCACCCGACAAACATAATTCTCCTGACAAAATGAATAAAGCTTGAATGAAGGCAACCTATTAGTTAAGTTATCATACGTTGCTTTCCTAACCTGTCAACTAACCAATCTCACAGACTGGACTAAAACTAATGCATGACCATTGTTCAAACTGAGTTTAACAAACATATGTGTTCAACAACAATTTAACTGACCCATGTGAAACCCATCTGACTTAGCTTAGTACTTGATTAAGCTACTTAATATCTTGGTTGTATGCATTAGTGGAATCCAGTAAACAAATGGTACATAAAGACATTTTTGAACATATAAAACACAGTCCATCATCCAGTTTTCAGCCCAGAACATATATTTAAGGGGACAACATGAATATATGTTGCTAGTTTTTTCAAACCAATTTAATGTGTAACTTGATGGCAAAGAAATGACTCTATTCACAATAACTGGAAGCACTGCGCAAGCAAATGAAAAATAATTTTTGCATAAATCCAAACACAAATATGAAGTATATAAATCTAAAGAAGGCATGAAAAGAGAGTCGCATTTCCTATTGATGATGATTGTTTGTAGACTGCTGTTTAATCAAAGAAAAAGTTTGGGTAGGAGGAAAGACCTTCAATGGTGTTTTTCATTTAACTCTCTCCTCCACATTTGTTATATTTACATGACTGAAACACTAACCTAACATGCTGCAGAAAGTGGGAGGAATTCTCCCAAGTATTAGACAGAATGCCTAAATGCCCCTAAATGAACTGAGTTATTGTGGTCTGGTAACCGTTTGAATTTAATTGAATGATGAAGATTTTAGAAAAGGCTGCATATCTTCAAGGATTCATTGTATGTCTTCTGAGACTCACTATGTGATGAGTCAATGAAGTTTTTTCCGTATCCGGATTTTGAAGAGCTGTTGAATCACGAAGAAATACCTTTTCAATTCCAAGACAATCTTTACTATTGAAAATGCTTGTATCCATCGCATGGAACAAATGAGCATTTTATTATGCAGTGGGACCCCGAGCTTGGGACGCAACTGATTTTTCCAGCTACGTCCGGATGTCGGAATATCCGATTGTTGAAAAACATTTCTTCGTATTGTTCACTTAAATTTGATGAATTTTCTTCATGTTTTATAAATTAATTTCATCTTTAATTCTACTTAGAAATATTTAAAAACAACTTGGAAATGTTTTGTTGTGACTCGAGTGAATGACAAGATTTCTGGAGTTTTTCTTTTAGGTTTTTAAAAATGTATGAATGTTGGCGGGGGGTCATCGTAATTGGATTTATACTGACTGCGCATTTAAAGGAATCAACTTAATGTTTAATTGAGGAAAAAACTACAATATTGTAATTATTATTATTTTCCTAGGTCACACTCGGGTGTATGACATTCGTCCTCGACGCAACATCAAGTCTCCTTGGCGAGCACGAGCGGATCGCAACTCAATTTCCAAAGCAGCAGCCGAATCCTCCAAGAAATCCTCGGCGGCGGGAAAAGATAGGAATCCCGACAGCGAGGAAGACGAAGAATTGCAAGAATCTGAATTTGTCGGCGATTTCAGCGACGAAGACGACGAGGAGGAGGGTGGTCCGCGCTTTGGCCGCCCACTGGGTGTCGACCGCACGCTCATTTACTCCGGATCTCCTCTTATCAATCTGAGACTAAACGTGAGTCGCCTGAAAAGAAAAAAAATAAAAAGACTTGCAGGAAATGGTAATTGGTGACATCCTTTGCCTCCCCGATGAGTTCACCTTCCCCAAATCCCCGCATTGAATTCGGATTGTAATACAAAAAAAAATATGTTTTTTTAGATACGCAACATGGACATTTCTGTTTTAGTAAGTGTCAGGCAAAAAAAAAAAAAAAAAGAACCGGCATGTTACCAAAGAGGGTGTCAATTTTGATCCGGAGTTGATAGTGAAGTTGAACTAATTTTGCGGTGAATAATTAACGAAAGCTCATTTTTGTGCTTAATTTTTTTCTTTTTTTGCGTAAATTATCAGAGTTAATTTCTAAGTTGCTTTAAAATGGCTGTTGAGGAGACAAGGGTTTTCAGCAAAAGGGAGCATTGCAGCGCAGTGGAAAAAAGAGGATAATTGATAACACAGGACTATCTGCAGATTTGCGGCTGGGAATATTTAATTAAGGGGGCTCATTAATTATTGTTTTTGGTTAAAGATATGTAGGGGAAGGTTATGCTGGGAATGATTCAAGTGGACTGATTGTTTGGGAAGGGGAACGCTGGGTATTCGTACGTTTTTAGTTGAATGCTTTGGTCAGCTGGCTTAACCGAAGCACTCAATTACCGTTGGCAATTCACGAGAAAATTATCACATGAGAGATGCAGATCCTGTTGAAAGATTCGTTGTTCATTGTGGTCATTGCGAAGATGGTCTTTGTCTGGAAGTTGCTTATTTAATTTTTCTTGCATCGCAGAAAATGAGAATTGAGCTGGTGCCGAAGCCGCAATTGGCACCGGCTCCTTGTCGGTCCCGCACCGAGCTCTTTGACATCGTGTGGGCCAAGTGGAAGAACTATCCGTTTTGGCCCGGGATGGTGTGTTTGGAGTCGGACTCGGAAATGCACCTCAAGTACACGAACCGGCGAGAAGTGGCTGAGATTCACGTGCAGTTTTTCGACCGGCCTGTAACGTCTGCGTGGATCGTTGCCAAGTGAGTTCTTCAAATTTTTTTTTTAATTTTTATATCCTGCGAGTGACTGAAGAAGTGATGTGTGGATTTTTAGTGATCAGCGATATTGCGTCAGTGAATATTTCTCAGTTGTGTGGAGTGTACAACGTGGTTCGTTTCGGGGAAATCTCATTCATCAGTGCCTGATTTCGTTGTAAAATTCGTGTTTCTGTTTGTTGTTACTGGACTAGAAAATTTTCCCGTTTTGTTGAGGAGAACTTGACCATTCTTCGAAAAATACGGTGTGTGATAAAATGGAGGAAATTTGATGTCCGAAAGAATTGTAACTGATGTGAAGTGAAGGTGTCAACTCTTCGACAGAAACTCGTTTTCGCTCCCTATGTAGAATTGTTTTCCAGTCTTCGGTTTAACTCGAAAGCTTTCCCACTCAAACTCGAAATTTCTGGAGGCCTTTTGTCTATTATTTTATTGACGCAGGTAAGAGGAAAAGCTAATAAAAATGTAGCTTTACCTGTTCTGACGTGAAGTGAAAGACTATTCGGGCAAATGAACCCGTGTCACGAAGTCCAGAGTTCTGTCAACTCGTTGAAGGAGCAATTCAAGGTCCAGAATATCGCCAATTACAGTTTCTGGTTATTCTTATTTGTTTCTCCCAACGAAAATGCTCGTTCTTCTTGTTTGTTTTTTATTTCCCGGGTCCCTTGAAATTCGACTGAAGTTCATCAACTGAAGTTTTATTTGATTTCTCTTCGTGAAGATGTCACCAAGAACTAGATCCCAGAAGGAAACCATGACTAGGACCCCATTTCAGTTTAACACTATTTCAAGTTCTGGCTGAGGTTTCGGTGTCGTGTGAATATGTGCGAAGGTTATCTGGAGTCCGTGGTTTTTGTGTTCCTTCTATATTTGTCCCTTCGAAATCGATTCGTGCGATTTTTTCAAGCTTCTAACCTTTGATTTATGATTTTCTCGGTTTTCAGATTAGTCGCGCCTTTCTGTCTGGACAAGAAATACTTGTTCCTTCGCAAATCGGAAAAGAAATACGCCAACACACTTTCAGAAGGCGTGGAAAATGCAGTCACTGCGAGTCACATGCCTCGAGCAGAGCGCAAATGTCTCCTATCGCGAACCGATGACAACACCGACATCAAATTCTTCTCAAGTGTCGACGACGACGACGGCCACGAAGCCCACACATCAAACAACAACAACGAGGACGAGAAGAGACTGTCTTTGTCGCCCAAGTCCCCGAAAGTGTCTTGTCGTGCGTGTCTCCGGGAATTCGCGTTTGTGGATCCAGTGTACGGAGTGGAAATGTGTTCTCAGTGTCGCGTGTTTCTCGAGACGCAACTGGCGTCTCGAGATAAAGTGGAGCGCAAGTGTAAAAGACCCGAGGTTCGAGAATATTGCGACTTGCGAACCGAAGAAGACCCGTGCGAAGCGTGTCTCTTATCCGCCATCGTTTCCTCCGAATCCAAGTTGCAACGCACCGAGTACCTCAAGCTCCTGCGTCGAGTGCCGAATATCCGAGTGCCTCAGAAAATCCCGCCGTACTTTTTCGTCCCTGACGACCTGAAGGGACTCTTGGAAGCCAATGGTGACCTGCATTTTTTGCACTACATGCCAGAGTCTGACGTGCCTGTGCTCGGAGAAGAAGTGAAGATCGCGTCTCCTAAACGTCCCTCGTCATCACCGAAATCATCACCGATCGTCGTGAAGGAAGTGTCTGAAGGAAAGGGGCAAGTGATGGTGAAGAACGCGTTTCGGCTCGTGGATCCCTCCACCATTTTTGTCCCTGCTACTCCTTTGCTTCCGGTTTCCGCACAAAAACGACTTCCGAACGGACGCTTCGGAAACGCTTCCGCGCCTCCGAAAATCCTCGACAGTAGCATATCGTCGAGGGAACGCGAGAGGCTCATTACGGACGCGTTGGTTCAATTCGGTTCCTTGCGGAAGATCACGTTGAAACCCTCTGACTTCGGTGGAGCGAAGGAATCCGTCATCAATGTTCCGAAGACTCGAAGCAGCGACTCGAAGCTCGTTGTGACGAAGAAACCCAGGGTCGTGTTGGACGTGAAGGCGCTGAAGGAGGCGAAGACTCGGTTCACTGCGTACTTCCTGAAACCCTTGAATAGGGGCTACTTGGTGTCGATGAAGGAGAACCTGTTGCGGTATTGCATCGAACCGGATGTGGGCAGTGTGGGCAATGTGTCTTGTGCGTTGGTGTGCCCCGTGTGTTTGCACGTGACTGTGCCGAATGCCGGGTCCACGAGCTTCTCCACGTTCGGCAACCAGTTTATTTGCGGGAATTGTTCGTCATTTATGACGAAGCAAGTGGAATTGGCGAAACGGGATTTGGCACTGCTCAGAAAAGATGTGAGTGTTGTTGTATTGAGCTGAATTGAACTTTTGTTGCAAGGCAATCTCTTTTCGAGGAGTCGGAAAATGGCTCAAGTCAGAGTTGATCATCGTGAGGAGGAGCATTTTTTTTGTTTTACGATTCAACCGGACTCGCTTTACAATTAGGTTCAAGGGACCCGAAAGAAGTTCGTTGTGGAGAGAATTTTGTCGCAGAAAATCACAGATCACATTATGCAGAGAACGTCGTTGTGGAGAGTCCTCCTTGAAATCCCTCTACAAAAAAATTCTCATGGCCAAGAAAAATTGGCTGTAGAGAGAATCTTGTACTAAGGGACAAAAATAAACGTATGCAGACAAAATCGTTGCAGAGAGAGAATTTATCTGGGTGGACTCTTCAGTCTCTACAACAAAATTCACGTGACCAGTGTTAGGAATGATCGTAAAGAGGGGAAAAATGAATCTGATTTTAAAAAATGAGTGTAAAAAAGAATTTGGTTGGGCTGCAACCAGGGTGAAACTTCACCCTATTTTAAGGTTGTTGTACTTCAAAATCACATGCACAAGTACCCCGTATTTACTCAAGTACCATGCACACCTTTTTTCTCAAATTTCAGAAGAAAAAAAAGGGTGCGCGTCATAAGCAGGTACACAATTTTCAAGAAGTTTTAGGAAGTTGTGTGTTAATTATACTTGATTATAATGGAGAAATTTGTGACAAATGTACCAAGAAAACTTTTTTTTTCTGAAAAATTTGAAAATTGACCAGATTCATGTTCAATTCACATCAAAAGTCAAATTTTTTGTTTTTTTTTTTCGAAATTTTGTGGTTTTAGAGTCCCAAAAAATTGGGTGCGTGTCTTACTCGGGGATACAATTTTAGCCAAATTTTGAACTGAAAAACCCCTGTGTGCGCCTTACTTGATGGCACAGGGTACTCGAGTAAAGACAGTATTTGCAAATCTTCTTGAGTATTGCATATCAGAGCTTGGAGAAGAGTGTTTGGCTTTTGATGGATTTGGGAAATCAGGAGAACTGTCCTACAAGGAAAAATAACAGAATCAGGATTTAGCAATAAAAAACAGCCTTGGAGTCTTTTGGAAAATGGGTGTGTCAACTGAGGTCTTTCTTGGTTCACACAGAGTTGAGTGAAGAAAAGTTTTCTAAGAATTTGGGTTCTTAAATTTAGCGTGACAAATTGCGTTCTGCCATTTAATTTTGCAACAACCAGGAAAAAATGCTGGTTGTAAAGAAAATTTTGTTACAGGTAACATATAATTCTTTATACAGATAAATTCGTTGTCTACATTGGTAGACTTTCTCTGCAATGAACTTCAGGGGACCAGAAAAAATTGGTTGTAGAGAGCATTTTGTCTTTTAGAGAACTCCTATTTGATGGGTATAAAACCCTATGGAAGCCCACAAAAAATTTTATTTTTTTACAGAGAAAATCGTTGTAGTCAAAATTTTTGTGGAGAGAGTCTAGCTGTGACAAGGAGTCTTACAGACTCCTTGTTGAAATTAATTTTTGTGGCTAGGATTCTTGTTTTTTGTCTTTTGGTCCATCACTTCTTTTTCTCAAATGAAAAGATAACTCAGAAAGTTAATCTTTAAAGAGCATAATAGAAATACAGTTTTTGTGGACTTTAAATTATGGCTGGTGAACTGTTATTTAAAATGTTGATCATTAATTCAAAATGAAATCCATTCATTAAGGCCAGCTTCTTGAAAGGATAAAAATGGATGCTGGCAAAAGATGGATCTATTAAGCAGATCTAACTTTAATTTCAACCCTTTTGAAAAGTTCCAAGAAAGTACTCTGTGATGAGTCAAGTTCATCACCTTGGGGTTTTTTTTTTAAATGTGAAGTATGATTTGTTTTTTATTTTTCTTCAGAATTCGGACCCGCCGGAACCAGGGGTACGTGACGTGTACGTGTGTGTGACCGGAAGCAACGCCTGCCACCTGGGCCCACGGACTGCGGAACGGTGTGCGTCTTGCTGGCTCCGCTACAGCATCAACGCCATCAAGGACACTGAGAAGATCACTTTTTCCGTGTACCGAGCGCTGTGTTTCCGGCTTCCGGCCGACGCGAGTTTGGGCGCGTTGCCCAAACAGGTGCGACGGATGCCGGCGGACCGGAAGCCGGGCGTGTGGGTCGACGAGGATCACTTTGGATTGTACCTGTCGGAAACTCCGGATGCCCGCAAATGGTGCTGCGTGTGTTGCCAGCCGACTGTGGAGGGCCGGTGGAACGGCGCGGCTTTGTGCTCTGAGTGCAAGGCGAGTTTTTTTTATTTTTTTTTCGTGTGGTGACGGTAGATGATTGAAGGATGGGCTTTTTATCAAACTACTGAAGGAACAAGCGAACAAATTCGAATGGAGAAATGAGGGAACTGGTATTTTTGCAGTGGGAGAAGATGAAGAATTACTGTATTCTTTGGTACCTAACACCCTTGAGTAGGACTCGCACCTTGATTTTCGTGGCGCAAAATTCGAAATTTCGAGTTAGGGTGTTCCAAGGAAAAACAAGCATTTTTTTTGCCGCCAGAAAGTAAAAAAGAATTACAAGAAATTGTGAATGGTGATATTTTGGGTCTTGAATTGCTTCTTGAATGAGTTGACAGGATGCTGAACTCAGAGATTTGCCCAAATACTTTTTTCTTCTTTCAAAACATGCCAAATTACCTTTCCATTGCCTATTAACTGTCCTGTGTCTATAAAGTACAGTGAGACCCCAAGATGCAGATGTAGTTGGTGCATCAAGAGTGTCCCTAAGTCAATCTCATTTTCCCTTTGACTTACATTATATAATTTTAATTTGTGTTTTATGGACAAAATACTCTCCATAATTCCATGAAAGTAAAAATTTTCTCCCAATTTAAACTGATTCAATCAATATATTTCAACACAATATGGACATTTGGGGAATTGAATACTGATACCTCTGTACAGTACATAAAAATGTTGGCAATCTCTGTAAAAATAACATTCAAGTGAAAATGATGGAAGGAAGTCCCTCTAAATGCAGGAGTAAATTTTTCAAATTAGCTAAATGGCTGGTAAATTGATGCATGGTGAGAGAAATGCCCAAGTACTTTTTCTTACATAATTTTTAGAGTTGGAAATATCTGTTTCTTGTAAATTGGCCTGAAACTTATTTGCAGTCTTGTAAAAAATGTCCCTATGTTGAGTCAGTGTTTTTTGGGAAAATAAGTTTCCCTATATCAAATTGTCAGCCTGTTGAGGTGTCCGCATGTGGGGGCCTCACTGTACAGCATTTTTTAAAGTATAAAATAAAATAAATTATTGCCGGTCTGTTCTTTCAATATTTAGACACAGATTCGATTGATGAACTACATGAAATGTGTTTTTTTTTTCGAACAAGAAAAATCGATGTTGCTCCTGTTGAGATATGTGGCTGAAAAAGTATTTTTCCGCTTTGAGGATTGTCTTCTTAGTTTATGATTGAGTTTTTCACTGCTTTTTTTTTTTAACGAGATTCCGAGTTTGAGCAAGTCTTTCACGAATGGAAAGACGGCAAAATAGAATCTGGAGCAACCGTTTTGAGTTTAATATCGTATTTTCTATATGTAGCGATTTAACTAATGAAACTAAAAAATAATAATAAATATAGCATCAGAATCGTGTCCCTTTTATATATTAATAGAGAAAAATCAGTCAGCAACTAAGGAAATCACTGAAGACAAAATCTCCAGCGCGGTTTTTCCTTATTATCCATAATCAGGTGTTCAGTATATTGTATATGTTGAATGTGCAGTTTGAGCGAAAAAATACTGCTCGTGAATGACAAAAAGAAAATCCCTGATTCGGTCTTTAGAATTCTGACCACGATAAGCACATACAGTACATTAGTTTTTCGTTGACTGCTGGAGTGACTTTTTATTCCGAAGTTCAAACGGCAATTCAATCAAGGACAGGAAAGTAAAGAAGCTTTTATTGATGTCCGGACTTGAAAGGGAACTTACTGTTTTAAACCTGGACACGTTTTTTATGAACTGCATATAGTACAGTACTTTTATTTTTGATTTTTGTAAAGCATGCATCATGAACTTTGCGCAAACTTTACGCGTCCCGAATCAACTTTCTGGTGAAACGCATCCGGATTATTCCAAAGAAATGATTGAAAATCTGAACTTTCAAAATGAATTTTGAATGACAACTGAGCTAAAATCCTCTCGTTTTTTTTCGCTGACATTTTTGCAGAACTCGAGGAACAACTAATGCCCAGAACCTCTCATTAATTGATTCGTGGACTGCAAATATTATAACTAGATTTGGATGTGATAGAATCAGAAATCAAGCGCCTCGATGTACAGAAAATAATCACAAAAGAATTTTAACCCAATCGCTTTTAAATTGGAAATGGCTGAAAATTTGGCCATTTTAAATTTATTTCTGAATTTAAATAAATCTGCTCTCACTTCATTCCATTAAAATTATTTAGTCAATGACCCGTGATCGAGTTTAATTCAAAATATTTCATGAAAACAAATCCCAATAATACTGTTCAAGTTCAACACGAGGTACTAATTTTTACACCCACGAGCTACAGTAATTTATTGTCCTGAAAGCAATGGGTGGGATAATTTGATTTGATTTTCGATAATGAAGAAGTTGCGCAAAATTGAATTAAATTAGCACACGTTTGCCCAAATCCAAATCAATCATTGCTTGTTTTCTCCCACGAAACCGGATGAGAACATATATATTTCAGACGAACGTTTACAACAGTTCAGTTATCATGCAACAATAAATTTTCATGTTGGGAATTTGATGTAATTTCTTAGAATTGTTCGTATGCGTTTCGTCAGAAAGTCAATTCGGGATGCATACAATTTGCGCGAAGTTTATGATGATGAATGCTTTGTTTGCAAAAATAAGAGAAGTATACAGTACTAAAGTTCGTGAAAACGTGTCCCAGTTTTAAGCAGCAAGTTCCCTTCCGAGTCAGGACATCAGTAAAAGCATTTTTTTCTTACTTTGCAATCGTTAATTGAATTTCCGCTCGAACTTCGTAATAAAACTTCACTCCAGTCGACGAAAAACTAATTTACTGCATGTGTTTATCGTGAATCTAATTTCGAGGACCACATCAAACGTATGGGCAGAGAAATAAGCAAAGGATTAACGAAAATTGTGAAGGAAAAAATTTGCACTAATCTTTCAGAAATTCAAACTCAACCCACCTCATTTAAAAATTTAACTGAAAAAAGTAAACAATTGCGGATTGGCAGCATACTTTTGGGGGGGTTGCAGAATTTTTTTTTTGACTGGTAAAAAAGAAAAAGAACCTGAGCAAAAATCCGGGATAATCCTCGTGTCGGAAAATGGAAATCTTGTAGAATTGCAGACTCGTTTTAGTCACGGATTGAATTCATTACTGTATTGTGTTAGTCCACTGCCGTGAATTTTTCCTTCTTGGATAAATGCGTAGGATTCCATGTGTTTTTCTTTCTTCTCTCTGATAAAATTCGCCACGTGTGTGAGGTGCGACTAATTCAGCTGGAAGTTTTTTTCTGCAATTCCTCGCAGTTTAGTTTTAACGATTTATAGCCCCAATTTCATCGAAAAAAAAATTCCGCTAGTTTTTTTTTCGTCCTTTAATTTTGCTGGAAACGCTCATGCTGAAATAACTTCGCGGCAAGTCAACAAAAGGATGATGTATCTGGGATGGGGTGCAAATATCGCTTCACCTCTGACCTGGATTTTAGAAAATTGAGTGATTGCCGGGATTATGAGGGCAAAATAAATATATTTTAAAGAAATTCTTGAAATATATTTTGAAATCGTCCGAGCGTATATCTTTACTTCACATTTCTTGCGCTTTGATTGAAGGAATTTTGCAAATATATACGCCGGACTTCATTAATATTTTGTGCACGTGATTATGATGGATCAATCTGATTTATACCTTACTGAACTATTGATTAAGATATGAAGACATTTTCTGTCGAATAATTTTTGAACAAAAAACTATATCATTAATTGTAGGTGCAATTATCTCAAACACTTTCCGTAATTCCATGAAATTCCACTCGTAATGCAAATGACTTTTATTTAATCTGCTAATCATTGAAATATATTTCCACATTCCTATCGTGACAGAATTTTTCTTGCATGACGCAATATTCTTTCGAATAATACAGATATGTACAGACCGATAAAGCTGTAATTTGGAAAGTAGGAAATGTTTACCGAGTTTTTCATATTGAGAAACTTGTAACCCAGAAACTGATTTCCTTTCTTCATCAATCAGCGAACTATTTTTTTTTTTTTTTTTTTTTTTTTCAAATAAATTGAGGGAAAAAATGAGATGTGTTTCATGTTCGGGTGTAAAATTTCGACTTTTGAGTGGCGTTCTTTGAAAATTTTCTCTTTACTTTAAAAAATTGTTCCGCAGTTCTCTAATCTAACGATGTCATTATTTATATGAAACTAAAAATCGCCATTGACTTTAATTTTCAAGTGGGCTTCAATTAAGGTTTTTCCCCGGCAACTTTTTTTCCAATATTAATTTTGTTGGATGAAAGCGAAGGTGCGCGACAAGTTTTCCCCTAAATTTTGGCTTAGAATCTAGAAGAAAAAAAATGCGAATGCTTATCCAATTGGAAAGATTTTAAAACTTCGAGTGCGCTAAAAATGCCCTCGAATTTTCAGAAAGCATTGTTTTCTTCTGTGTGCTGATGCGGTATTGAAAAAAATTTCCTGTTTAATTTCAGGCAACAGTCGGAGAAAAGTGATCAAGTTGTGGGTGAGCAAAGAACCGGAGCCTGTCAGCGGCACGTGTCCCGTGTGCAACGCGGAGTTTTTTCGGAGTCTCCCGAGGGATAACCAGACCAAGTTGTCCTTTCTAGAGCATTACATGTGTGATTTCTGCGCGGCTTTTGGCACGGAAGTGGCCAAGGACTTGGAGACTGAGGACAAGAGCAAAATATCCCCGGAATTTCGGTCTTTTTACTGCCATACCAAGGGACAGTGCGTGATACCGTCTACTGGGTCTCGTCGTGAATGGTAGGAGCTCTTATATCTTCATGGTGAACTTTATTTTCCAACTTTTTTCTTCTTTTCGTGGGCATTGGAAGAGCAGCAAGTAGGAAAGAGTCCCGTCAATGATCAATTTATAATTTGGAAGTCTCTGCTTTTTGACTTTGAAAAATGTATTATAAATGGTAAAATTCTGGTTTTGATTTACGAAAGATTACAGTTGAGGTTTCGAGGAAATTGATCCACTTGATGTGTTGGGTCCCAGCGTAACGCAACTAATCTGTCTCTTTGGTGTGTTTTGTTATACGGAATTTCCGTAATGCGAACCGCGATTTCCCTTAAAGTTGCATTGTGAATTATTCAATTCATTCACGAAAATGTCGTAATAAACCTTTTCACCTGTTTTTGGTGCATATAACTGTGAATTTGAAATTTGTGTGTATGAAATTCAATTAATCCTGATAATTTGTGCTCTGTCCTTTCTGAATTTCACGAATTTTAAAGGCGAGAAGAAGTAAAACTATACCCTTCCTTTCCTATTTTTTTTTTGTTCAATTTCTGAAGAAATTCAGAACTTGTGGTCGAAAATGGTTGAAAATCGAGCATTTTTTGGGTTATGAGCTTATGAAATTTTTTTTTTGAAGCAATTTCCGTATGCGAGTCACTTTTCCCTCCTGTGTTGGTTCCCTTTGAAAAATTGAAAGGCTGCATTGAAAACCACCATAACTCAAAGGCTTCCCCCTCTAAACTTCAATGACTCAAATTTTTCTGAAGCCTTTTGGTTATTAATTTATTGGCTCTATGAGCAATGAAATTGTAATTCGATGTGTTTCGAGAGGAAGTGAAAAAGGCTATTTGAGAAAATGACCCCTTGTCTCCCAGTTCAACATCATGTCAATTCATTGAAGAAGCAATTCACGGCCCAGAATATCGAAAATTGCAATTTACTGTGATTCTTTTTTCTTCCTGCCAACAAAAATGTTTGTTTACCTGAAATCGAATTTTTTTTACTAGTCCCTAGAAGTTCGACTTGAAAAGATCCACTGAATTTGAACGTTCTTACCGTCATTATTATTTGAGTTCTGTCTTGTGGCTCACTTTGCATTTCCCGAGATAACACCTGTCGGTAATTCCTGAAAGAGAACGTTTAGCATCGAAGTGTGAATAATCGTGAAAAATGTTCCCAGGTGTCCACCGTGTTTGCTGCGGAGGATATTGGACTGCACGTTGGACATGCCACTCAAGCTGTTGATGCAGTACGTGGAAAAGTTGCCGCGATGGTGCTGGCCTGCCAGAACCGAGATCGTCAATTTCGACGTGCTGATTTTCGCCAAATTCTTTCCGAAACCCCCTCCGTCGCCCGAGGTGTCCGTGAAGCGGAAATCCACGCTGACGAATCACAGTCCGACGGACGTTGAGATCGTGGACGTGTCGGATGACGACGCCGACGTTGAGAAAGGCGTCGCGTCACCCGCGCCGAAAGTGATGAAAAGGGGTAGAGAGGGAAAGTGTGAGGTGGTGGATGTGACGAGTGTCAACTTTGACTGGCGGCGTCCGAGGGGCAACTGGATGTTCAAGAATCCGTCGGAAGTGGAACGAAGTGAGAATCTTGGAGGACGATGTTGTTCTTCCGAGGAGATTAAAATTAAAGATGAATGTGCAACATTTCGCCAATTTAAAACGGTCCAATTATATCGTGTGCATTTTTTTTTTTAAAGAAAATTTACGCAACAAATGAAGTGCACACTTTTGAGCGAATTTTTGATGAAAAAATGATCCGTAATTTCAACGTATTTACTGAGTTCTGGTTTTAGTAATTGTGTGATTCATACGAAACAAATACTTCACAGCACAGTTGAATTCAATTTTTAAATGTGCTTGCATTTACACATTTACTGAATATGGTTTCTCAAATTGACATGTTGGTGACTGAAAACTGAGAAGAGTGAAACCCAAAGCGGGCGTTTTCTGTGGAGATGAGGTTTTTGTTTTAATTTAGCTAAAATAAGGATGAATTTGCAATATTGCACGTAATGAATAACTTGCGCTCAAGGAAAAAGAAAATCCTGAAAAACATTTCGATTTTGTGCGAATGAAGTTTCTGAAAATTGTGAATCGAACTAAATTTGAACTGCAGTATTTAGTACATCTTGATGCTGTACGTTCAATTTGTCTATTAAATTGAAATCAATCTGGTTCGTTGGCTGTTCCGATGTTGTATCCTTCAACTTTTCTGCAACTCGTTTAAAATTTTGTTTAGCTTTTCCAAAATTTAAAAATGTTGCGCAATATGGGTTTCTTAGTTTTTTTGTGTTGTCGACCTTCTTACTGCAGGCTGATAAAACCTGTAATTTATTCATTTTCCCCAGGGTTTTTCCTGATTTTCTTGAGAGCTTTTGTGAGGATTTAATAGTCATGCAGTGAATATCATAATGTGAAGAAAAATTAACTTTATTTCGGAATAGCCTTCTTAATGAGTGATGAGTTCGTTTTGGGGTTAATGAATTGATATGATTGATTCCCTGTAACTTTAAATATTTGCTTTTTTTGTTCTGTGTCTTGTTGTTGTTATGAGGAGGATTTACGTTGATTGAAAGATTCAGAGACTTGTCTGTAGACAGGAAATTTCGTCAAGTTTCAATCAAGAGAAGTTCAGTTGTCTTCCATGTTATTGAAACGAACGGTGCTTTTGTTCTATTTGCAGATGTGGACAGATACTTCACGCAAGTTTTGCGAGCCTACAACAATTGGTTCAAGGATAATTGACTGTTTCTCTGGGTTTCCTGAAAAAATTGCACATTTTTTATCCATTCCGGAAGCGCGTGTGAGCTGTAATTTGTTTTGCTTTAATTTATTACGAAACGAAGCTTAAAGTGAGCGTGTCATGAATTCGATGTTCTTTGCAATTGAATGTTTTTTAGTGCTTTCAAAAAAAAAAAAGAGTTTATACTGGAAATGTAATTTTAAAACGAAGTGTGTGTGTATCAAAGGAGAATTTCCACTCTTCTGGCAACCCCTTTACATACAGGTTCAAGTAAGTTTCACTTTCGAAATCCCACGCAATTCTTCAATTGTTTGAATGGAACTCAAGAAATTTTTGCGCTTTCAAGCTCAAATCATTGGATGTTTCAAATGCAGATGTCTGTAATTTAATAGATGTAATATTTTTTAAATTGTCTGAGCGGTGCCGTGAGAGAATTAACCTGCTTCGGGCGACACCTATGTGATACCGAAAGAAATCTTGCGCATCCAAAATTTTGAACATGATGCCCAGGTGTGGCTGGGCACCCCCAGCTTGTCAATTAATTGAGTTATGAAATGGATACTTGTCTATCTTGGTTTTAATCAATTTTCATGCTAAATTGCGCAAAACATAGTTTGATTTTTCTCAGTATTTTACTTGAGATCGCTTTTGCGCATTTTCCAACTTTGAAAAAATGCGATTTGAACAGTAAAACCTTGATAAGCTACCACCATTTGTTTGGTAGGTTATTGGTTATTTAAAAGGGTTGGTGGTTCATTAAATGCCAAAGTATTATGAAAATGAGTTGATGTATAAAACAAAATCCTCATTCTTTTGAAAGAAATAGAATAACCTAAAATGCATAAATCATATCTAGCTAAAGGTCTGAAGAAGTGAATTGTTTCATCTTTGTGTGTGTGGTTTTTCATTTTTTTATTGGAGACCTCTCATAGGAAATTGAAGATAGAATTAATTAGCAATATCATATTTGAGCTGCGAATAATTTTTGTGTACACCTCTTGAGATTTTGATAAATTAAAAATTGGCTAAATATTGATGATGTCCCTTTTAAAAATATATTAATGTATGCAGTACAAGGGTTGAAGGAAGAGAAGTGGATTTCTCATGATGTTCCTTTAAAGATTCTCGTCCTGAGTTTTTGCTGATGTTCAATCGTGGGTTTTTTTATGGTGTAGGAAAGGAGTGATTTTGATGAGTTGTGTGTTCCTTGTGGTGTTCCTGGGCGGAGTCTTCATATCATGGTACTTGTGCTGGAGGTGATGAAGGGATGATGGGCCTGCCACAGCTGCAGGCGACTGACCGGGCTGCAGATGGGTCCAGGGACAGCAAACACTTGCCTGCGTCTTGTCGAGAGTGAGTTATTGTAGAAGTTAATTAATGAGGGAACTGTGGAGGCTTTTTTGATGAAATTTCTGTGTTCCCCAACCCATGGTCTGCGGAAGTTTTTTCTGCTCTGGGGGACATTTTCAGCATAATACATTTATCATAAGTAGCAATGAAGTCTGTTATCTTCATCTGAAGTTTTGGAAAGACAGTAGCGGTTGGAATTATCTGACATTCTGAGAAAACTCTCCTCAAGCCCATCTTTCTAATTTTTTGAAGATATTCCACTTCAGCTGCTTCATTGGTTCTCAACTTAATTTTTTTTGCAAAAAAGCAGAAACTTTTCAAATCCCTGCTATTAAGTCTTCCAAGCGAAAATTTGTGTCAGGAATAATTTTATGAAACTTCTCTGGTCTGCTGCAGAAAAATTTTGAGGATTTGTCAGTCTGCTGGCCTTGAAAGGTTGGTAACGCTGGATTGAAAAGAAGAGATTGCATCTATGAAATGTTGAGATTTTAAGATGCTGTGGCAAATGATTACAGTGAGTCCCAGCTTATGAAGAAATCCAAATGACGAAATTTTTATGTTGAAAACATAACTCACATCACAAAATTAGTTCACATAAAAAAAATTGTTGGCCAAAAAATGCAAAAAAAATTGAACTAAAACTTGAGAATCTTCCAAAAAAAATCGAGAGAAAAAATGTCAGAACAAATTGTTCACGTATTCTTATTCGAGAAATTTTAATTTTGCATTTTTGCAGTGATTTCCGAACCACGGATTGGCAGTATTGCATGCGAAGGGAGATGCAGGAGATCCTTCCTGGCCTGTACTTGGGACCGAATGCAGCTGCCTCCAGGGCAAACCGGGAACGACTCGAACAAGTGAGTTGTTTCTTGGTGGTTAAATTCATCAACTGTTGAATTATAAGTTTTTTTGGGAACACTTCTGGAAACCCGAGAATCACATCCCAGCAAACGAGGAAGAATGAGTGAAGGAGATATAAAAAAAAAAAAAACTCGCGCTTGAAAGTCTAATCAACCTTATTATTTTTTGCTGCTCAGGCGTCAGAAGCAGGTGAACTTGAAATGAATTCGCGCAACTGTGAGTGACATCTACCCATAAATACTTGTTCTTCATTGCAATGAACAAGGTTGGAAAACTCTACATATCTTGTCCAGAGAACATGGGTACTCAGAAACACAACCACTTGGTTACGGTATTTTAATTGATTGATGAATTTAAAAGAAAATGTCTAATTGTCAGCGTTCACGAAGTTCAAAATTTTGTACCTTTTTTTTGCTTTTCTCTTTCCTGGGTCACAAAGATAAATTTCCAAAATGCCTCCAGAAAAATTGACTTGTAGAGGAATGGGGGAGGGAGGGCCTTTCAGTTTGGGAGGATTTCAATATAATGTTTCCAAGGGAATTCATACATCGCCAAAATGCCTCCAGAAAATTTGAATTGTGGAGGATTGAGAGGGAAAGCCTTTGAGTTTGGGTGGATTTTAATACAATGATTCTGAGGGAATTAAGACAGGGACAAGAAGAAAAAATCTACCTGCAGAGGTACAGGTGGTACCTTGCAATTTGACCCTAATCCATTGTTGGAATAGGGTCCAATTGCAAAGCAGTTGAATTGCAGAACAGTATCAAATGGCATGTTTTCTGCATGGCATTTGACATTTCATGTCTCTCCACTGGTCAAATTGCAAGGCAGAGGTCAAATAGAGAGTTGATCTCCGTGCAAATTTGACCATTGAATTGTGGGACAGTTGAATTGTGAGGTATCACCTGTATTCAGGTGACTTGAAGAAGTGTGATTTTTTTGGTTACTGTAATACAGTATACCTTATTAGTCTTGAAAGAAAACATTGACTTTGAGTGACATCTTCTTGGATGAAAATTGAGCACCATGTGCATTAAAAATCCATAGATGGCATGGAGAAATCAGATGCAAGATTTCCCAGCGAATAATTCCCTTTCATTCATTCTGGTTCTAGTCACTGTATCCAAAAATTAATCATTGATGTAACTCCTGCCCAACAAACTTGTTTCCTACCAGTTATCCCTCACGGTTGATATTGAATGATGATGATGACAACAATGTTTCATGTCTCTCTACTGGTCAAATTGCAAGGCAGAGGTCAAATTGAGAGTTGACTTTCCTGCAAATTTGACTTGTTTTATTTATTTACTATAATACAGTATACCTTATTAGTCTTGAAAGAAAACATTGACTTGGAGTGACATCTACTTGGATGGGAATTGAGCACCAATTGCATTACAAATCCATAGATGTTGCGGAGAAGTTAGATGCTAGATTTCCTGGCAAATAATTCCCTTCCATTCATTCTGGTTTCAGTCACTGTATCCACAAATTAATCATCCATGTAACTCCTGCCCAACAACCTTGTTTCTTACCAGTTATCCTTCCCTCAGGAGTGATATTAAATGATGATGATGACGACGAAAGTGCGCCGTTGTTGATCGCCAGTAAACACGAGAAGCGGTTAAAAAACGGGGTCTTTGTAGCAACCATTTCGCAAATGGCTCTGATGAGTCATCCCGCCAAGAAAGGCGCGGCAGACTGGGTATTAATGGAGTAATATGATGTGGAGGGTTTTTTTTTCTGCGCAGCTGTGAGATGGCTTGACAACAAGGATCGAGATACTATTCTGTATTGTCTTCGTTATTTTATTGCGATTGTATTTTTTATGGAATTTGTGGGGTTTTCCCTTGTGGATGGATGAGTGAGTGAGTTTGCTGTTACCCTTTTTTCCCCCCGAGGGGAAAATCGTCGCGGTTTTTGACGAAGAGGCTCAGTGTGAAGTGAGATCTGACAAGAGGAAGGTCAGGGTTAGGGTTTTTTTTTTTCTTCAAAGATTGTCATTTTTTGAGTTGTTTTGGTAATTTGTCAGGGGATGCTCTAAAAGTAATGAAGGGTTGAGGTTGAGAGCTGCTTGGATATTTGTATCTTTTTTGTGGCCGAAGAATATTTGTGAGGCATACGAGGGTTGTCCCATTTGTGCGCGACCTTGGTTATTTCTAGAGTATGTCTGACTGTGAAAAATAAATGTGTATAAGTAAAATCTCATTACAACAAACTCCCAGGGACCTGAGAAAAAATTCGTTAAAACGAAAAATTCGTTATATTGAGATTAATGATTTTTAGCTCATTTCAGACAGGAATTTTATTGGAAATGGGGAATACATACTTTAAAATGCTTCTAAAACAAATAATTCATGTACTTCTGATGAAATGAAGTGAAATCCTTTGATATAAATAGAACTCTTCTTTAAATGAACTAACATTTTTACTAAAGTGTTGCTTGTCTTCAAAAATAAAATGAGACAAAATTAAATATGGTAAAAATACTGTACTTTGTTCTCAATCAACTGATTCACACATGGCTCTTTCAAACATGAAGGAACATTCTTCTTACATACTGCTTATTTGAAAAAGGCATATATCCTAAAATGGATGAGCTGAAGAATTTCCAAAAATATGTTGTGTTGTGCATTTTTTTGGGACACCAAGTTTTCTGTACATGAAGATTTCTTTTTTTGTGAATTTTTAATGCTGTATAACATTATGCCTAAGGGAAACTGTCAGGACCACAAAAAAATTCGTTATAACAAGATTCATTGTAAAGGAATTCTACTTATATAGCCCATGATGTGAGGTTCAGGGATTTTTTTATTTCAGATTTTAAATTTTCTCAATATATTGCATGATTTGTAAGAAATTTCCAGTCAATTTTAAACTTTTCCTATTGTGTCTCAAGGTGCTAAAATATGTCAGTTCAACTGAAAATTTAAATTTCTGTATTGTTTTAGTCATTATCTAAAATGTGAAGAAGATTATGCTTACAACAAGAAAAGATTTTACTGTTTTTTTTTTTTAGCTTGGTTGGAAAACACTGTGTTCTAGGAATTGTTCTTGCCCTGCTGCATTGAATAATCTTCGTTCTGACTATTTTGTAGCCAATAAACCAAGATTTGAAGTGTTTGAAGTATTTTCCAAAAAATTTTTTTTTTTTTCACAAAACCCTTGGTTGATTCATCATCCAACAGTATTCGGGGTAAATACTGTATGATGATTCCTTAATTTTGTGTTTTCGTTACAAAGGCTGGGATCACGGACCTGGTGTTGGTGCGACAAGAAGTGGAGTCGCGAGTGATGAGGCCCAATTTCCCGAACGCGTTCCGCTACTTGGAGATCCAGTTGCCGAGCGTGAATTTCGCCGACATCATTGCCCAGCTCCCGCGGGCCTGTGCCTTTTTGGACGCCTGTTTTGCCCGCGGCGGCCGGGCCCTCGTCTACTGCTCGGACGGCATTTCCCGTGGGCCCGCCATCGTCGTCGGCTACCTCATGCACAAGCGGTGTTTGCCGTTCCCCGACGCTGTTGACTTTGTCCAGGTCTGTTGTTGTCGGGTGACTCCCCGAACGCCAAAAAAAACGAGGATTTTCTGAACCCAAATGATTGAGTGTTTCATTGAAAAAAGGGGTTTATTTTTCCTTATGAACAATGTATGGCGTAATTTTTATGAATATCAGTGTAACTTTCAATAAAAAATTTGAAAAAATAAATCTTGACTTGACCCAAATGATGGGCGTTTCTTTCAAAACATGATAATAGGCATTTAAAAAAATTTTGTTAAGGAACAATTTATGAAGTAATTTTTATAAACTTCAGTTTAACTTTCTTTCAATTGAACATTTTTCAAAAAAATAAACCTTGACTTAACCCGTCGATTGGGCGTTTCATTTAAAAAGGGATAATAGGGTTTTTTTTTTAAATTTTGGAACAATTTATGGAGTAATTTTTAAAAACTTCAGTGTAATTTTCATTCAATTGAAAATTTTCAAAAAATCAACCTTAACTTGACCCAAGTGATGGGCGTTTCTTTTGAAAAAGGATAATAGGCGTAAAAAAAATTTTTTTCTGTGAAAATGTATGGAGTAATTTTTATAAACTTACGTGTAACTTTCATTCAATTGAAAATTTTCTGAAGATATACGGTACCTTGACTAAAAATAATGAAAAAATATTTAAACAGGGTACAATACAGTACGTCATGAATGATTTACTGGATGACGTCTGTTTTTTTTTTTTTTTTTAGAAACTTTTCAACTACAATATGGTACATTACTACTCATAAAATTTTCACGTTATGCCATAACCCCGGGAAAGAATTGTCAGTTGAATGAATGAATCATGAATGCGTATCAAGAAATATTTCAAAATTCGTTCATCGCCGAGAAAATAAAGAAGATAGTAAAGTAAAGAACGAATTAAGTCAAGATTTTACTGGAGTCGTTAAAATGAAAATTATAGAGTAACGCGGGAGCGAAAAAGCGTTATCAACAATTGATAGCGCAACCACTTGAAATACGCTATCTTACACATAGAATGATTCATCTGTGATAAGCAACGCTTTTGTAAACAGGCGCTCCGACGTTTTGATCGCACGAAAAGGGTTTACCTAACCCAATTTATTGGGTGGTTCCTTAAAAAAATATGATGGGCGTAAAAAAGTTTATTTTTTTTCTTTGGGTACTAATTTTGAATTATTTTTTACAATTTCAGTGTTACTCTGATTCGATGGGGATGGTTAAAAAGAAGGGCCTCCTCCGGAGAAATATTTGTTCAGTGTTGCATTTTTTGTTTTGTCTTTCAAACAAAAGACTTGAGAAAAAAAAATGTGGCTCCAGAAGTATTACAAGTGATACCCCGAGATGCGGACGTAATTGGTGCATCGAGAGTGTCCCTAAGTCGAGTCTCATTTTCCCTTTGACTTACATTATATAATTTTTAATTGGTGTTTTATGAACAAAATACTTGACATAATTCCATGAAAATAAAAATTGTCTCACAATTTAAACTGATTCAATCAATGTATTTCAAGTTTTCAACACAATATGGACATTTGGGTAATTGAATACTGATACCTCTGTACATGCAGTACATGGAAATGTTGGCATTTTCTGTAAAAATAACATTTGAGTGATTTTCTCTCTTCTTTCAGGGAGATACGACCTCCATTAAAAAAAATTAATCGATTTACAAAAACTTGATGTTATTCTTGAAAAGAATGTAGTTAAAATCTTTATTACATAGACAAAGAACATTAAACCACTGAAACTCATTTGCAATTTTATCACAAAAGTTCCTATATGTTGAGTCAGTGTCTTCATTTTGGGCCTTTTTATTGATTTTTTTATGGAAAAATAAGTGTCCCCATGTTGAATTGTATGCATGTTGAGGTGTCTGCATGTGGGGGTCTCACTGTACTTCTTTCAGGAATAATTATATTTTTAATTTACAGCAATTGCATTTTGAATATACTGTACTTCACTATATTCCCCTATTTTTCAAGACATTTGTTGAATCAGTATTTTGACTCAATGAGGTTTACAATTGAATTATAGAAATTGGCGAATAATTTCTCTCCCGAGTGGCGGCCCATTGAGGAAACTTTGATTTTTACCCTCATTGTGAGTTGAAATGCTGATGAAGTTACTTAATTTTGTTGTTCATTTTTTTTGGGCAGGCTCGAAGGCTGTGCATAAATCTCACAGGAGACTTGCAGAACCAGTTGCGCGAATACGAGCCGATTTGCAGGGCCATGAGGGTCGCCACTGCGCGCGGCGAAAGTTCCGCCGGCAGCGGTCGCAACAACGACAAGAAGCGTCCCCGTGAGGAATACGACGACGAGGACTGTGACGACGTTCTCGTCGACATCAACGACGACGATGAAAACAACCATCACCACCAACAGCATCATCGTCAGTGTGAAAACGGCGACGGAAGTGACGGCGGTGGCGGTGATAGTGAGTTGCCGAGGCCCAGGCGGCGTCCGCGTGAGCCCGGCGCCGCCAAGCGTGTCCCTTCCTTGCTGGCTATGCCTGAGCCCATGGACGAGCTTTGACGGGGCTGCTGTTCATCTTATTTGTATTTTTTCTTCTTTTTTTGTGATGATGATGAATCTTGTTCCCCCACCCCCATTTTGTCACTCTCACCCATCCAAAAAAAAAATTGGTGAGATTTTTGTTGTTGTTGATACGAGGGATTAAGGCAAAAGTTCTCGGTCGCAGTTTTCCTGAACGACATTCAAGCTGATGGTTGTATTTTTCATTTGTTATTAGCTTATTATTCGAAATTTTACGGAAAGTACGCATTTTTAAATCCAATTTTTGGTGAAGGAGAAGCCTGATTTACGAGTACAGTATTTACTTGAGTACGTTTGAGTAAAACGCGTACTTCTTCAATCAACGTTTTTTATGAGATTGTTTCCCTGAGTAAGACTCGCACGCCATTTTTAGTGACTGTAAAACTGCTATGTATTGTAACAAAAATATGAACACCCAAATTTTGATGAACCGTCATTCAACAAGTTTTCAATCGTTTCCATTGCAAGAAGTATTTCTGAGAGAATTTGTTTGAAATTTAACACCGGAATCTACCGTATTTACTTGAGTACCACGCGCCCTCAAATAACGGGTTTGGCTAAAATCTTATTCCCAATTAAGTCACTCACCCCAATTTTTAGTGAATCTAAAACCACAGAATTTTGAAAATAAAAACAAAAAATTGACTTTAGACATCAATTGAACAAAAATCTGATCAATTTTCAACTTTATCAGTACAAAAAAGTTTTCCTGTTACATTTTTTCCAAATTTCTCCATTATAATTAAGTATAATGCACACATAACTTCTTAAAATTTCTTGAAAAATTTGTACCCGTTTATGATGCGCACCCCTTTTTTCTTCTGAAATTTGAGAAAGAAGGTGTGCATGGTACTCAAGTAAATACAGTACTATAATATACACACCTGAACTTCTTGAACAATGTATATGATGTGCACCCCCTTTTTTTCCTTCCAATTTTGTATGAAAATGGAAATTGGGCTCAATTATGGGAAGACCAGAAACTTTTGCTTAATCCCTTGTCCCTGGGGTGCTAGGGAAGTTGTGAGACTCTTCTGGCTTGAAGATGATTGAAAGGAAAAAAAACTTTTTTTTTGGCAAGGATTGCTCAAAAGCAACTAATTTTATGTGTACTTTGAATAGGTCAATGTTTTACATTTCTAGAGGTTCGCTTTGTGCAAATGAGGGGGTGTCCAAGCTCTAGCGACATCTACATGGAAAAACTGCTGAAAGCAAATCGTTCAACTCGTTTTTTGTTCACTTCGTTCAATAGTTCCCTCTTTGAATGCTCAGCACTTCAATTTGCATTCGCCAAATCCGTTGGTAAGATCAGCCTCATCTGTCAAATTTTGTAGATAAATTGGCACGCTTTCTTGAGACTTGAAACAAATTATCGCGGCGTATTCAATTAAAAATTGAATCTGGCTTCTGAATTGGGAAATTATCCTTTTAGGAGGGAAAAAATTCGATTAGATGAAGTATAAATCTGACCGATTCTATGTTGTTCGCATGTAGGTTCCGTAAATTTCTGTTAGCGTCACATATGCTGGAGAATTTCTCCGATTTCTATGAGTAGATGTCGCTGGTGTGTGAATCCCTCGTTGGTCCTCTCGAGACCATAAAACGATTGTTGTTCAGTTTTTCTACGAGTACTGGTGATAATGTGAGGCCATGTGTCTCGAATGCAGGATTTTTCGTCTCAAAACTGGGAGGGGAAGGGAATCGTAATTATAAAAAAAAAAAAAAGAGTAGAAATTGATCAACTCAGGGAAGAAAATGTACATCCCAGAGGGTTGCTGTGAAAACCCATTCGCACTGAGAGTGGGTGGAAAAGTCGCAACACTTTCCTAGCATCCTTTTGTGAATTTCCTGAAGAACGGACCCGACTGTGAGGGTGATTCCTACAGGATGCAGTCTGAAGAATTCGGGGAGAGTGAAAAGAAAAATTTTGAAAGCTGGAAAAAAATGTGAAAACTTACACTTTTCTACCGTTTTTTTGGGGTGTACGGCAGGAAAAGAATCGTGTGTTTTTATCCTCAACCTTTTTTTTTCCATGTGAGGAAAATGTATCGACGGTTTCCAGGGAAAAGAAGTCTTTGAAGCTGACTGATTATTTTCTTTCTCTTTTTTTCCCGTATCCTAGTGTTTTCACACTGTTGAGATCATGTGGGTCAATTTCTCGTGTTCGATGTTTTAATATTTTCAGGTCTGCTTATCGTGAGCATGATTTTGTTGGTTGTTTCTCTCCACTTTTTTGTTGGAAGCCGTTTGTCTCAGGAAAGCATTTAAACGGACTTTCTCTATGCATTTTTACATTTTTTCAAATTCTGAGTGTCGTTGGCTCGGTGATTTTTTTTCCCCCTTTCGTTGGGCGATCTGGTTGTTCTGGGTTTATTTCCACGAAGAAGGATTCTAATCTGGACGTTTTTGAGGAACAGCGTTGGAATTCGATGATCGAACTTTTTCTTCGAAGAGTATGATTCACATATTTATGAAATTTTTTTGTTTCTTTTCAGGAAATGATCCATCAGTGATTTTTTTTTCTCTCTGTGTGTGATCAAAAATGCCGAAAGGAAAACGCACGCGAATCGGTGAGTTGAGATTTTCAGTGCTTATACTCGAATTGCGTGATTATGGTCGTCATTTTCTACTCGAGTTTTGAAATCTGTCTCGAAATACTTGTTATTCATTTGAATAACGGTTCATGTCCGTTCAAGAACACGACTGAAATCGAGGTTACATGGAAAATTACTGAGAAGTGTAGAACGCGATATTCCCTTTAAAATTATTGATAAATAGACTTTCATCGTGAATCCTTTGGGAATATGAAAGTCATTTTTGGTGTATTTCCTCTTGGGGAGGAAGTGGACTAAGGAAAGTTCAGGATTCAAAGATGAATTCAAATTTAAATTTCATTGGAATACAAAATTAGAGGGCAATTCTTTTTTTCAGCCAACGTTGAACAAACTTCAGTTTCTCCCCATTTGTATTCCGTTTGAAGTTCTTTGAACGTAAAAATTTTATTTATCTAGCCATTTTAAAATATTTACATTATTTCTGCCCTTTTTGAATGTGAGAGAAAACGTCCGTAAAGAAACTTAGTTTTTGTCGTTCAATATGAAAAGTCTTTTCATACAGTATTTATGTTTTATATTTTTATATTTATGCTCTCTATTAATTATGTAATCTTTGCTCGTATTGAAATTGAGATTTTTGTCGCATGCTTTCAATTACAGCAGAAATGACTTGAATCTTTGAAAAAACGCTAGATTTCTATACCGAATCGACAAAACCGCACTTGGAATTTTTTTATTGCTTGAGAATCGTGTTCAAATGCAAAGGTTAAAAACGAGTGAATCTTTCTGAATCGCTCCATTTTTATTTGCAGCACGTATAATTTTTATTTTTTGCCATTTGCAGTCGCCTTGACGAGAACACGAAAGAAAGGCCTGGATTCCAAGAAAAAGCTAATGGACGACCTCAGGTCCTGTCTTGAAGACTACGAGCGAGTGTTTGTTTTCTCTGTTCGGGACATGAGGAACGCGAAGCTGAAGGACATGAGAACCAAGTGGAGAACCAGCAGGTATAATTATTCGTTCCTTTTCTTTTCCCCCGCAAAGAAATTGAATAAAATAAAATAAAAAATTTGAGGAAAAGATCTGGCAAAATTCGCTGAGGTATTCGTGACGTGATAAATTTCGCGGAGATGGAAGAAATTGCCGAGTCACGAGATCGTTGCCAACGGCCAACAAGAGGTCAATACGGAAGCGATTGTCTGTCTCAGACCCTGTGCAAAACTTGTTTATTTTGCAAAGAGTATGATTTTATAAAAAAAAAATAAAATGTTTCAGAGAATATTGTCTTATTCCAGGGAACATATCTCGTGAAAGTATACTGTACATGTAAAAGCCGCAACAAGGATCACCCATTTTTTTTTTTTTAGGTTTTTCTTCGGCAAGAACAAAGTGATGGCCATTGCGTTGGGCCGCACTGCGGAAGAGGAGCAGGCGGACGGTTTGCACAAGTTGTCCAAGGCCCTGCGGGGCCAGTGTGGCCTCATGTTCACCAACAGCGCCAAGGACGACGTGGTGGACTTTTTCGGCAAATACGTGGAGGCGGATTACGCGAGGGCCGGCGCCGTGGCCACGGACGACGTGGCCCTGGAAGAAGGCCCGCTGCCGGATTTCCCGCACTCTGTCGAGCCTTACCTGAGGTTGAAGCTGGGTCTGAAAACCACGTTGAACCGAGGTTCGTGTCGGGAGAATCGAAGGGCCCGATCGAGGAATGAAATCTGTTTTTGTTTTTCTTTGTGGCTCACTAAAGCATTGTGTTTTTTACGGGATGATGAACGTAAAATTTCGTACCCTGATTGCGAACGAAAAACTGAACAACCGAAATCAAAGTCCAAATGAAATTAGAGTGAATCATTCCTGTTTTTCGCTGAGTCCTGTGCTTTTCCTTATCCTCATACAGTATTATTATTTTTTAAATCATAAAAAATTACTGTATTCAAGTAGTCAGGAAACATTTTAAATTCGAAGTATAAAAAACTCAATTGAATTTGAAGAATTTGTTCTGAGAGAAATTTTATTTCAATGTTCATTCAACCGTCAAACGATGTTGAAAGTATATTTTTATTTCACTGGAAAGGATCTTCATGCATTTGCAAGTTTTGTAATTCAGGAATCATCTTAATTTTTTTGTGTGTATGTCCTTCGAGTCGCGCGGAAAAAAGCTTGAAGGGATTTTAAAAATATTATTGAGATTAATTGAGCTTTTTCTCTTTCGCCAGTTTGAAATTTAAATGAAGCTCGAAATGTCATCAGAAATCAACGAAAACTCTGCGTACCAAAAACATTTTCGATTGAAGTAAAAGGACTCGCGGACGAAAAACGTTCCACCGGAGAAATTTTTCGGGCCAAGAAACGCTTGAATTTTATGAAGTTCTGCGCTAAAACTTCGAACTGGGAAAAAAATCGAGGAAAATTACGAAAGAAGGGAGTAGTTTTGCCTCCTCTAGAAAATTTCAGAATTGCCAAGATTATTCAAATTCAATATACGATTTTTTCCGAATTCTGTGCGGAAACCCTTGAAGAATTTAGTTTTCAGGGTTTACTTTGGGTCTCCTGATGAGTGTACGGACCACGTTGAATCGTTATTTTTCAACGTACCTGATGAAAAAATCGCGTTTCGAATGCTCACCCAGAAACGGATTAGTTTCGTTATGCGAGGACCCACTGCTTCACATTAGTGATGTTCTTCTTCGCAAGCGCCTTTTTCCTGCCGCGTGAAATCAATCAATTCGATCCGGAACTGACGGAAAAAAACTGTTTTTCTTTTGTATTCCCAGGCGTGGTGACGTTGCTGAAGCCACATATTGTCTGTCGGAAAGGCGAGCGGATGACTCCTGAGCAAACACGGCTCCTCAAGCTTATGAACCATCCCATGGCAGAGTTCCGAGTCAACCTAGTTGCCGTGTGGAGCAAAGACGGGGTCGTTGAAAGACTCAATCCTGATGCTGACGGAGAAGAAGACGAAGAAGAAGAAGGAAGCGGTGCAGAAGACGACGCTGAAGACATGGATTCTGATTGAGAGCGACATCTGTGCCAGTTTATCTCGTCCCCCGGATCCGCTGGCAGCAGGCCGCCATGACGGGTGTAAAGGAGTTTANGACGAAGAAGGAAGCGGTGCAGAAGACGACGCTGAAGACATGGATTCTGATTGAGAGCGACATCTGTGCCAGTTTATCTCGTCCCCCGGATCCGCTGGCAGCAGGCCGCCATGACGGGTGTAAAGGAGTTTATAATCTGTCCGGCCGGGGAGTATGTCCGAGGGTACACGTGTCCGGCTGGAATAGCCTATCTGAGAACTTTCTGCTGGAATAGGTTTTGGAATTATTGTATCTGCTTAATCTTCACCAAATTTGGGAGAATGTACTGTATTAATATTATTCACATTTATTTTGTTCTCTCAAGATTTTCCTTTTGACTTTTTGAAAAATGGTGGAAGACGCGGTTTTTCAACTCATGACTTTCATCTCAGTCTAATAACATGGAATCTTGAAACATTTTAGTCGACATTCTTGAACTTGAAGACCCAGTTGGCTGGTGTTTTGGGACACCCATCAAGGTTTCGTATCCCTCACAGAATAACTTCACTTTGAAAAAGAATGAAGATCTCACTTGTTGACTGAATGAAGTTCACCTAGACTTGAGAATACAGTTGATATTTCCCTGATATTGTTCTTGGAATTTTTGGATTGACATTAAATAACTTGGGCAGAGCACGAAGGCTTTGTTGTGTAGTCAGCTTGCGTTTGATGAAATTGGTACTTGAGGATGACCAGGTATTCATGTTGAGAAAATTCGAAAAAACGATTCTATTCAACGAAAGTACAAAACTTTTTTTTATAATTCAAAGAAGAGATTTTAAATTTTCTGATGCGTTGCCATTCACGAAAAAGAAACTATTTCAGTACTCTGCTGTATTTTCACTAGCGTGAGACGCTTTACAATGATGTATTGGCTTGAAAGCCGGTTGAAATTATTTGTTCTCGGATAGTTTATACCAGTTGCGCGCTATACTGGAGCTTGGATTTTTTGAACTGGGCCGGACATGTTATTCTCCTTGGCTTGTTTGTCATGGTTTCTTTGCTACGTTCTGTGATTATTGATACAGAGAAAAATGAGAAGATCCTCTGGAATAATTTATTTCCAAACTGCAGCCATGTAAAATTTGTGTGGCCAACCTGTTGATCAGACTTTCTACTCCTCAAATCCTGACATGATGGAATTGGGCGTTTTCATGAATATTTTGACATCATTGGTGAGAGGATTGGTTTATGAGAATTTTTTGTCTTTCGTTTTGGCTATGTTTTTCAGCATATCACGGGTGGACTCTCTGCAATCAAATTCAAGGGACTGGAAAAAACTTGTACCAATACGAGAACCGTATTGGCCCAAAACGCATTTTTATGCAGAGAAAATTGTTGTGAACAAGATTGTAGAGAGGGTCCACATGTATCTGCTCTTTTTTTTGGCCAATTATCAAAATTAAGCCACCCATAGTTGAAATTGAGAGAAGACAGATCCTTGAATGAGGAATTGTTCATGTGAGGAAGGTTACCTGTTATTTCAGCACATTTTATGAATTTGCAGACAGTCTCAAAAATTTCAAAATGCTGTAAAATCTGGTTGCAAAAAAGCACTTGGGATCTGGTGGAAATATTTCAATGACAAAAATATTTTTTATAATGAGCCTCAGATAACATTTTGGTTATACGGGAGGAATCTCAAAAGGGCATTCTTTTGTCAAGCTTTTACTATATTGAAATTGAATGAAGAATATTTTGAGTCACAATTTCTTGGATCTGAAAAACATATAATCTTCACGAATTCACTTTTTACAATGCTGAATGTAAAGGGTGCAACAACTTGTGATTCAAGAATTGCATGAGTTGAAAAACCGCGTCTTCCACCATTTTTCAAAAAGTCAAAAGGAAAATCTTGAGAGAACAAAATAAATGTGAATAATATTAATACAGTACATTCTCCCAAATTTGGTGAAGATTAAGCAGATACAATAATTCCAAAACCTATTCCAGCAGAAAGTTCTCAGATAGGCTATTCCAGCCGGACACGTGTACCCTCGGACATACTCCCCGGCCGGACAGATTATAAACTCCTTTACACCCGTCATGGCGGCCTGCTGCCAGCGGATCCGGGGGACGAGATAAACTGGCACAGNAAAATCGAGGAAAATTACGAAAGAAGGGAGTAGTTTTGCCTCCTCTAGAAAATTTCAGAATTGCCAAGATTATTCAAATTCAATATACGATTTTTTCCGAATTCTGTGCGGAAACCCTTGAAGAATTTAGTTTTCAGGGTTTACTTTGGGTCTCCTGATGAGTGTACGGACCACGTTGAATCGTTATTTTTCAACGTACCTGATGAAAAAATCGCGTTTCGAATGCTCACCCAGAAACGGATTAGTTTCGTTATGCGAGGACCCACTGCTTCACATTAGTGATGTTCTTCTTCGCAAGCGCCTTTTTCCTGCCGCGTGAAATCAATCAATTCGATCCGGAACTGACGGAAAAAAACTGTTTTTCTTTTGTATTCCCAGGCGTGGTGACGTTGCTGAAGCCACATATTGTCTGTCGGAAAGGCGAGCGGATGACTCCTGAGCAAACACGGCTCCTCAAGCTTATGAACCATCCCATGGCAGAGTTCCGAGTCAACCTAGTTGCCGTGTGGAGCAAAGACGGGGTCGTTGAAAGACTCAATCCTGATGCTGACGGAGAAGAAGACGAAGAAGAAGAAGGAAGCGGTGCAGAAGACGACGCTGAAGACATGGATTCTGATTGAGAGCGACATCTGTGCCAGTTTATCTCGTCCCCCGGATCCGCTGGCAGCAGGCCGCCATGACGGGTGTAAAGGAGTTTAAAATCTGTCCGGCCTGGGAATATGTCCAGGGGTACACGTGTCCGGCTGGAATAGCCTATCTGAGAACTTCCTGCTGGAATAGGTTTTGGAATTACTGTATCTGCTTAAACTTCAATAACTTCGGAAGTATGTACTGTATTAATGTTATTCACATTTATTTTGTTCTCTCAAGAAGATTTTCCTGTCGAATTTTTGGAAAAATGATGGAAGACGCGGTTGTTTAACTCATGACTTTCATCTCAGGCTGAGAACATGGAATCTTGAAACATTTTTAGTCGACATTCTTGAACTTAAAGACCGAGTTGGCTGATGTTTTGGGACACTTATCGAGGTTTCGTATCCCTCACAGAATGACTTAACTTTTGAAAAAGAATGAAGATCCCACTTGTTGACTGAATTAAGTTCACCTAGACTTGGGAATACCGTTAATATTTCCCTGATATTATTCTTCGAATTTTTGGATTGACATTAAATAATTGGGCAGAGTACGAAAGGTTTGTTGTGTAGTGAACTTCCGTTTGATGAAATTAGTACTTGAGGATGACGAGGTGTTCGTGTGGAGAAAATTCGAAAGAACGATTCCATTCAACGAAAGTACATTTTTTTAACAATTCAAAGAATATAGTATTGCATCTAAAACAGATGTTGAAATTTCTGATGCGTTGCCATTCATAAGAAAAAAATTATTTCAGTACTCTGCTGCATTTTCACTAGCGGGAGACGCTTTGCAATGATGAATTGGCTTGAAAGTCGGTTGAAATTATTTGTTCTCGGATAGTTTATACCAGTTGCACGCTATACTAGAGCTTGGATTTTTTTAACTAGGCCGGACATGTTTAAGAGGAACCGAACAAACAGTACCAAAGAAACGATGCAAGACACTAATAACTATGTCTCTTTTTACTCTTCTAGGAGACCTTATTAAATAAAGGTTTGACGTCGGTACATTTTAAACACACCGGTTTCTGTTGATCAGACTTTCTACTCCTCAAATCCTGACATGATGGAATTGGGCGTTTTCATGAATATTTTGACATCATTGGTGAGAGGATTGGTGTATGAGGATTTTTTGTCTTTCGTTTTGGCTATGTTTTTCAGCATATTACGGGTGGACTCTCTGCAACTAAATTCAAGGGACTAGAAAAAATTTCATTGTAGAAATCCCTGTAAAATAGGGAGAGAACTGTATTGGCCCAAAAACATTTCTATGCAGAGAAAATTGTTTTAGACAAGATTGTTAAAGAGTGGTTCCACATGTATCTGCTCTTTTTTTTGGAAAAAATCAAAAGTATGCCACCCATAGTTGAAATTGAGAGAACACTGATTCTTATATGAGCACTTGTTCATTGTGAGAAAGGAAGGTTACCTGTAATTTCAGCATATCTTATGAATTAGCAGACGGTCTCAAAAATTTCCAAATGCATTAAAATCTGGTTACAACAAAGCACTTGGGATCTGGTGGCAATCTTTTAATGACAAACATTTTTTTATAATGAGTTCAGATAACATTTTGGTTATATTGAAGGAATCTCAAAATGGCATTCTTCTATTCAATTTTTTTTTTACTGTATTAAAATTGAATGAAGAATATTTTGAGTCACAATTTCTTGGATCTGAAAAACATATAATCTTCACGAATTCACTTTTTACAATGCTGAATGTAAAGGGTGCAACAACTTGTGATTCAAGAATTGCATGAGTTATTATTGCATTTGAACAAGGCTTACTGAAACTGAAGAAAGACACTAATTTGAATTGTTTGGTCTCAGAAATGTGGATGCCCAAAGATCTTCCATTTCAAGGTGCTAATGACAAAATCCAGCCATCCCTTAGCATCTTAGATTGAAGTTGTGCTGTGATGTGAGTTTACAAGCCATTGACCATTTTTTTTTTTCTAACAGCCTTTCAGGCTACTTGTCTCTCAGATGAACTAATTAACTGTTGCGCAAGGATTTGGTCATGCTGGTCTCATTAAGCCAGTAGCATAATTGGTTGCACAAGCCAACCATGTTGAGTCGTTCACCCCTTGACCGGGTTCCTCAACATTTGGCATGGCTGCCCTGGGTGGCCAGTTGCATGACGTCAGTCTTGCGCAACTGGTGGCTATTTTTGGAAAAAAGAGTACCAAGATGCTTTAAAACTCCAAGTAACCTATTTCGTTCTTATGAAAAGGAAAGGGACAAAGTATTCAATAACTTTCAGAAAGCTCCTTTTTTAAATTGTAATTTGGTTGCATGCCAGTCAAGTACAGATTTGATAGTGAAACTGCTGCTCAACTGTTGGAATTTTTCAAAGTTTTGTTCTCAATCAAGAGCTGTACTATAATTTTCATGGATTCAACTTTTGAGTGAGCTTGTATTTAGATTTTTTTTAGTTTTGAAGTAAGAATCTTGGTAACTGAAAAGTGGTGGAAAACTGTTGTGTATATCTTATGCTGGGATGGCATTTCTTCAAAAATTTGAGCTTTAAAAAAATAAGTTGTGCCTCTTATTTGAAGGTGAGAGTAAATAAGCAAGGAAGGGTTTGTCATGAATCCAATGTAACTTATTGTCTTACTGGATGAAATAACTCATTTGTAAAAGTGGTTTTTTTTCATGTGCATGTTGAATGGAAGATTTCCATTCTTGTTGAGAGGTTTGCACAAATTTTACTTTTCCATACCTAAAAAACCTGTATTGTAAAATATGTACAGTACAGTTCATTACTTTGCTCTTGGCTGGAATTAATATTTGCGGGTCTTCCCCATGGATCAATTTCAAGCCAATCTGAATTTTGAAAAGAGTGTGGAGTGAGAAAGTCTGTTCTGGAGGTTTATTGAGGCTGTGGTACTGTACTAATAAGATTTATGGTTGACTGCAATTTTGAGTGTTTTCCTCCTCTATTTCAGGTCAGCCTCAACAGATTGATTGAACTGCGCGGAAACTGCCGTGTGTGAGTTCCTCGCGTAGATGTCGCTCTTACTTTGTCGATCGGAGGGGGGTTTCAAGCCCCACATCAGAAAAAAATATACATCAATGATTGGAAAGGCCGGGGGGGGGGCTGAACGTTGCTCGTTTTTTCGGGTTTGTTCCGCCAATTCGTGGTTCCTTCCCCATTTCTCAGATATGGGTTATGGAGTTGCATGGGAATGCACTCTCTTCTACTCCCCGCCTAGCGCCCGGCGGTTTCCGTACGGTATCTGTTCCTCTTAGCCGACGCTACGGTTTTCGGTCGACGGTGTAGCAGGTCTGAGAAGAACTCTGAGGCCGAATGAACGAGGTATGTGTTATTCTGTGTAAAAAGTCTGCCTCACAGGTTAGTTGCTGTGATTGCAGGAGCAGGAAGCATGATTTTTTCGTTTCTAGAGCCATGTTGTAGGTGGGTTTTTGCATAATTGATGATCCATTGAAGACTTATGCAAGAATTTCATGTGATACTTAAGTGTCATCTAGTTGTATTTCATGGCTACTGTAATGTACTTGAATGGACCAGGAAATATATTTTTTAGCTCTCTGGTTGAACAAAAATGGCTATGCACACCCAGTGGTAGGTTCCTGGATAACATCACAAATCCATTCATGAATGCTTAATGGTTAGGCAATATTTTCTTGAGACACCTAAATTTCAAGATGTACTTCCAATAATGATATTTATGTTTATTGGAATTTTTCTGGATGAACAAAGAGCATTGTGCTACTTCAGTTATGTGGTTCTAGGTCACTTTTGATAGTGATATTCCAATAGTGGCAAAACGTGATTTAATCCATCCTTCATGCATGCTGATGTGCATAATCTGTCAAGTTCTAACATATTTGAAAATATCTCAACAGTTCTACTCAGGGAATGTTTATAAGTATCCCTAAAGTTAAAAATTGTTTGGCCCGGAATGACCTTACTGATGACAATTTTGAGCTCCTCATTTCCATTGCAGTTCTAGGGAAGGTAGAACTTCAATTTTCCTTTCTCTTGACCAATGTTTGCTGTAATTTTGAGTATCCCTAAGTTTTATCTTGAAACCTTGTAAAATGCGGGCATTCCTTGAAAAAAGTTTGTGTGAGTCATCTTTCCATTGCTGAGTTATCTGCAATGCATTAATTATGTATGGGTAGTTTCTTCTGTTGAGAAGGAACTCAATGTTTTGAAACAAATTTTCTTAGTACTGGTAAAATCTTGTTTTGATGAAGTTGTATTGCTGCTCCAATACCTTCTATAGTAAAAAATTTAATATTATATGTCATGGCTCAATAGATGTAATGACTTTCCTGTAGGGACTTTCAAGAAGATTAAGTTATAGAGAAGGATTCATTGGATCAGGAATCTAACAGTGCATCTACACAGACTCTCCCCAACCAATACTTCAACTTCTTAAAATAATCTAGTAAATCCATAATATTCTGGCAATGCAATTTATATTTACAGTCAACTCATGATTTAGTGCCATTATTTGTCCTGGAAAATGTTGTGGCACTGAGTAAGGGTGGCACCAAATCAGGGTACTGTATGAAAATAAATAAGTTTTAGATTTTCTATTATAGATAAGTCTTTTTGCAGAATTTTAAGGCCATTGAGTCGTGTGTATGAAAGAATAAGCCACACAAAATAATTTGAGGCTCAAATGAACTGTTTTTCGCATTTGAATTTATTTTATAGTGCAGAACATCTTACTTTTTTTTTTACATTAAAGGTCAAGTAAAAGTGTGGAACTGTTTCTTGAAATTTTTTGATCAACTTTTCCATAAAAACTCGCAATTCCAAGATCAGGTTTAGTGATTTTTATTTTTCAGCATAATATTTGTGTTTTTGAGATGCTGTGGAGGACACATGCAAATTAAGCCACCCAATTGCATAATAATTCTGAAATATAATTGTTTACGTATCAGGATCATGGGCATGTGATTCTCAGTAATAACCTGATGATATCCCTAGTAATATTACTTACTTTCTCTGATTTTGGCCTATTTGTTTTACTAAGGACAGGACATTTTTGTGGCACTGAGTGAGTTGGCACTAAATCAGGATTTCCCTTAAGAACACAATGGAGGGAGATTTTTGTTACCAAGAAATTTGTGGTGTTATGCTAGTTTGACGCTAAATCAAGTAACATTCTCACAAATTACAGGGAGTTAAAAATTTCGATGGAATTTGTTGGCCTTGAAAATCAAAGCTAAAAGGAGGGAAAAATGTAACATTATCAATAATAAAATCTGTTGACTTTGTAGTGAGACTGCCTTCCAAGAAAATTTCCCAGGTGCACTCTTCAAGTCTTTAAGATGAAATGCAGGCTTCTGGGAATGTATAGATAATTTATTGAATCCAGTATGATCTATCAAGTTGTTCAGTCCAGTGTTTAAATCAATTTATAGTATGATCTTGCTGAATCGAAAAAAATACCCCAGCCTAATCTGTGATTCAGTGGTTACTTATGCACCCATATTATCCTTACATGCTCAACATGATGTTCCACACCACCTGAACTATTTAAACACTGGACTGAACAACTTGATAGATCATACTGGATTCAATAAATTATCTATACATTCCCAGAAGCCTGCATTTCCATTGCAGTTCTAGGGAAGGTAGAACTTCAATTTTCCTTTCTCTTGACCAATGTTTGCTGTAATTTTGAGTATCCCTAAGTTTTATCTTGAAACCTTGTAAAATGCGGGCATTCCTTGAAAAAAAGTTTGTGTGAGTCATCTTTCCATTGCTGAGTTATCTGCAATGCATTAATTGCGTATGGGTAGTTTCTTCTGTGGAGAAGGAACTCAATGTATTGAAACACATTTTCTTAGTACTGGTAAAATCTTGTTCTGATGAAGTTGTACTGCTGCTCCAATACCTTCTATAGTAAAAAATTTAATATTATATGTCATGGCTCGATATATGTAATGACTTTCCTGCAGAGACTTTCAAGAAGATTAAGTTATAGAGAAGGATTCATCGGATCAGGAATCTAACAGTGCATCTACACAGACTCTCCCCAACCAATACCTCAACTTCTTAAAATAATCTAGTAATAAGTAAATCCATAATATTTGGCAATGCAATTTATATTTACAGTCAAACCATGATTTAGTGCCATTATTTGTCCTGGAAAATGTTGTTGCACTGAGTAAGGGTGGCACCAAATCAGGGTGGCACCAAATTTGTGGTGTCATGCTAGTTGGACACTAAATCAAGTAACATTCTCACAAATTACAGGGAGTAAAAAATTTCAATGGAATTTGTTGGCCTTGAAAATCAAAGCCTCAAAGGAGGGACAAATGTGACATTATCAATAAAAAAATCTGTTGACTTTGTAGTGAGACTGCCTTCAAAGAAAATTTCCCAGGTGCACTCTTCAAGTCTCCAAGATGAAATGCAGGCTTCTGGGAATGTATAGATAATTTATTGAATCCAGTATCATCTATCAAGTTGTTCAGTCCAGTGTTTAAATCAATTTACAGTATGATCTTGCTGAATCACAAAAGAATACCCCAGCCTAATCTGTGATTCAGTGGTTACTTATGCACCCATATTATCCTTACATGATGCTCAACATGATGTTCCACACCACCTGAACTATTTACAGTACAGTATATTCAATCTTACCCCCCCTACATTATATTCAACCTTCCCCCCCCCCCCCCCCCCTGAGAGGCAAATTGACCATGACAAAAATGTCTCTCAAGCTTGTCAAAATGGCGACTGTGCAATTACTGGGCGTTGGGTAACTTCTGAATTCTGTACAGTATGTTGAAGCATTGCAGAGGAAATGGGCTTTGAATGTGTTGCAAAACAACAGTGCAGTTGAATATTGTGCAGCACCCTATTCTGGGTACATATTTATTATATGGTGGTATGTACTGTATTTTCATATTCTATAACATCCTGTCAGGAACACTGAGGACGTAATATTGTATTGTATAAATCTAATTGACAAATTCTCAGGATAAAATGTAATTACTGTAATTATCTGGTCTTTTTTCCAAAAATTCCCTCACAATATTTGCCATTTAATCACTTGATATGGTGAGCAATTCTGAATCATTTGGAAAATACTAAATTTGATAGAAATTCGCGTGTACCTTCATCAGGAAATCACGTAGAGAGTACTTTTTACAGCGGAAAACTTGATCTATTGGAACCATATTTGTTGATCGTGCTTGGTGATTGACATCTTCGTCATAATCTTTTAATCTGCGCAGGAAAAAAAAAACTTTGATTTGACCTGAGTCATCCCTGATTTTAAGAAATAGATCGTTGTAATAATCTCATATGCAGTCATTTTTTGAATTCATCTAAAAATTCTTAGTGGGTAGATTCCACCCTCACTACAATTCTGAGCCTGAGCATTTATCTAGGCGGAATCCGGAATTCGAATTGCTGATACGTTCGAGATGTGATTTGCCGTCGGTTATGCACAGAATATGCGACACCGCGGAGCCGGGGCTTCCAGCTTATTCACTGCGTCCGTTGTGACTAGAGGAGGAGGCGACGGCCTCGCACTCGCTCCCTCTGAAACGGGGAAACTGGGAATGAGGGGGCACTCGAGGGAGGGTATTCCGGTGCAGCGTGCGTCAGAGGCAGGAAGGGAATGAGTGCGATTAGATAAGCGGAGAGAGTGAGAGAGGAGCGAAACTTCGTGCCTGTCCTTCACCGGAGTTACCGGTGAGGGACAGAGTGGCTCTTCGCTGGCGTTCATCCCAGCGGTTGTAGGCGCGTGAGCGGCGCGGGATGCGGACCAGCACACTGTACCCGCCACGTCGCTCAGTTCAAGTGAGCCGCTGACGAGTCCTGCTTATCTCTGCCGAATCCTGAAGACGTTTGAGCTCCGGAAGCTTTATTCATCTCCTAGATTTTATATATTTGGTGAATCAAGTCCTGAAATAAGTTTTTGTCTGCGAATTTCGGGATGTCAAGGGTAATTGAGAACTGGGGATAGGTTCGTGGAACGCCACATGACGCGGCAGCTAAAGAGCTCGCGGTTCGAGCGGACGGTTCAATGTGCGCGCCATGACAGTGCGGATCTGGCAGTTGAAGCGAGTGGTTGACATTTACGTGCGGTGGCTCTTCTCGAATTCGCAAGTGATCGAATCGGAGAGGAGTTCATAAAAATTGCCACCGATGTGTATTCAATCAAAATTCTGTGTTCCCCAGGAGCGTTGACTCGTGAAGTTCGCGAAGACCCACATCGCCGCTCCGGCAAATTGTGATACCTACGGGCTTTGTTTTCTTTCCTCGAATTCGGACCCCCCTTTTTTCAGTCCTAACGTGTGACCATGTCGGACAAGGAAGAGTTGGTTCAGAAGGCGAAGCTCGCCGAACAGGCTGAGCGCTATGATGACATGGCCGGGTCCATGAAGCAAGTCACAGAGACTGGTGTCGAACTTTCAAACGAGGAGCGGAACCTCCTCTCGGTCGCCTACAAGAATGTGGTCGGTGCACGGCGTTCGTCGTGGCGTGTCATCTCCTCCATCGAACAGAAAACCGAGGGTTCGGAACGAAAACAACAGATGGCCAAGGAATACCGCGAAAAGGTCGAGAAGGAACTCAGGGAAATCTGTTACGATGTACTGGTGAGTTTCCGAGCACTCGACCATCTTGTTGCGAATTTTCAAAGACTCTATCGTGATTCATGCGATTATTTTAATCGCTTTACGTTATGGTACTAGTGTCTAGTGTACTTCGTGTGTGAACGATTGACGAAACGAGTGTTCCTGTTATTTTATGTTCGTAGGGTCTGCTTGACAAGTACTTGATCCCCAAGGCATCCAATCCCGAATCCAAAGTGTTCTACCTGAAGATGAAGGGCGATTACTATCGGTATTTGGCAGAGGTGGCCACCGGTGATTCCCGTGCAAGTAAGTCGCAATTGAAGCATAGGTTTTCGCGTTGCGTAGCGTCGTCGTGAGTCAGCGAGCCCGCGGTGAGTCGACGTGGTTTGTGTCCTCGCAAGGACAGGAACTAAGGTTCCGGGAGAGAGTTTAAGGGGGGGGGGGGCAAGTGCGCGGCATTCCTGGCGGGCTGCGTCATGGACTAGCCCCGCCCCCGGCCCTGTCCTACTTAATTCCTCCCCGTTTTCGCAATGGCTCTCGCTTGTGACCGAGAATATAAGGGGGGGAGGCGGGGTACGGCTTCCTTCCGGGGTTTCCCTGGCGTTTTGCACGTGGGCGACGACTGTCCGGGTCGCTGGGGTTTTTTCCTCTTGACTCGACAGGGTCAACGCACATTTCCTACGGATTGTTGAGGATTCATATTTGCCCTTTGATGGATGTCGCCTTAAGCGTAATTTGTTACTGTGAGAGCATAACTAGACATTCTTGCCACGTCATTCTACGGGTATCGTATGAAACACGGAATGCTGTAAAGGGCCGTGAAATGGCAAGACAGGACTTCCCTTTTCGAATGGCCCTTGGGTGGCACCGGAATACTGTAATTGGCCAACACGAAGAAACGACTTCTTGGTTTTGCGACACTGACGCGTGGGAGTCCAAGGCAGTTTACAGTGAAGTCTCAGTGTAGCGAAGCCGTTGGTTGAAATATCTCCGTTGTGACGACAAATTCACTAACAAGAAATCACTTCTAAAATTTTGGCCAATTGGCGTGGACTTGATAAATGACCGTTGTGATCGATCATTCGTTATAACGAGATTTTTCTGTACAGTAGTTCGAAAAACTTGTACCTCTCTTGAATTTCGTCTGTTGATATGGATTCAAATCTTAGCCATTTCCATGAGGATTTATTCATTACTTGTGCCTGGGTTCTATCTAGCTTTCTTGGGTGACCGGTAGGTGTCGCCTGCAATAGTAATGGATTCTAAAGGACGAACTTGACCTGTTATGTAATAAAGGCGAGGCATTTTGACACCGGAAGAAGTCCCAAGGCGTAGAAAAGGTAAATCGACTCGGTATTGTTTTTTAAACCACGAGCTTGCGATACATTTTATGGACTTCCCTTCGACATTGGATCGAGTGTCAATTACAGCCGTCGGATCAGCTCGATTTAATCATAATGATGTCGCTTGAGTTCCACCGACGTCCGAGCTATTTTGGGCTGAGTGACACCCGCCAGTCAGTTTTCACAATTGAGCGTAAATGACTGCAATTTACTTGTGGAGGATTTCTTGCGGTACTTCCGCTGCGTAGTGATACCACAGGGATGAATCATCTTTTGGGGATGCGTCAGGTGGCGCCGAATTACTTCCCACGCTGCTTACGCTTCCGTAGGAAATAATGCCGGCGGCTAATTCAACTCAGAAGAGGGCTATCAAGGAATGCAGTGGGGATGAGACGGGGGTGGTTGGAACAAGGCAACGTTACCTGGTCGCTGTAAGAAGAGAGCCATTGCGAGAGGGTATGGGAGAGAGAGAGA